GTACTCAATTTTAACGGTACGACTTTCCATTGACGTCCGTCGAGTTTGGTGTTGATACGTATTTTTACAGAAAGATTACATATATATGGTATTATTTTATAAGCACACACACAAGGTTTCAATATGCGGAAACACGTACTTTTTGAGAAAAAATATTGAAAATCAAATATTTTTGCAATATTTATGTCAATTCCTACCGTGAAACTGACGCCATTTTTATTATTATTGTCAGTAGGGATGTCAATTCTTTCCGAAAAAGATCGATTTTTTAAATAGATTCGAATTGTAAGCTGATGTATCGATTCCCAAAAAATCGATTTCTAAAATATCTATATTTTTTTCATGTTTGCATTTATAATGTAAATATAAATCCATTTTATGAGAAAAAAAATTCCCTTCATCATAAAAAAATAAGGGGACTGATTCAGAAGAATTTCTGTATCTATTTTGAGACTGCTACGTCTCCGGCGCTGCGGGAAGAGCAGCCTCTGCGCCTTAGCGTAACAAGTCGCATCCCTCCTCGTCCGATGCCTACGATTTGTTACAGCAGGCGGAGGCTGCTCCCCCTACGCGCCTCCGGCTCTATAAAACTACTCTAGGGGTAGAACAGACTAGTACCAGGTGGAGTCGGGGTCAATCAATTCGGTTCTTTGACATAAGTTGAACCTAACCTATTTTAGCGGTTAGCCACCGTAGAGTCTATATCACCTGAGGATGCCTCGTGTAGAGGCGAAAACGTGTCGTATTATCGTCAGTGGTGTGTCTTGCCTAGTGTAGTGGTGTTGGGAGTAGCGGTGCTGGGATTAGTGGTGACGGGGATAGTGCACGCAATTGAGGGAGGGCGGGAGGTGCTCTTCATTAAGTAAGACACATCATTTTATTTTATAACGCGGATATTTGCGAAGTAAATTTTTCTAAAAGCTTTTATCTAACCTATTTTATTTGTTATCTGCCCTAATAGGTAATGTTAAAATAAAACAAATTTCAATAAGAGATCATTAATTATGTTATCTTTTTTGTTTTTCATAAAATGGGTTTATATTTACATTACAAATGCAAACATTTAAAAAATTTAGATATTTTAGAGATCAATTTTATGTGAACCGATACATCAGCTTACGATTTGAATCGATTTAAAAATCGACCTTTTTCGGAAAGAATCGGCATCCCTATTGACGTCGACAATGACATTACAAAATGGCGTCAGTTTTACGGTAGGTTTAGACATAAACATTGCAAGAATAATTGATTTTCAATAATTTTTTTTCAATAATGTTTCCGCATGCTTAAACTCTGTGTGTGTGCTTATAATAGTGTAACTTTTCTGCAAAAATACGTATCAAAACTAGACGGACGTCAATGGAAAGCTAAGCCATTTTATCTTGATGTATAGAGTACTGATGTATAGAGTTATGAATACCATGGTTTTTAAGAAAAAATTCTCACAAACAACTACACCGGAAGCGGATTATATTGTAGCATAGTGTAATATAAAATGACATAATATGAATATAACTTTGTTCTTCTTGTTTTCCTATCTTGAAATCTTTTTTATGCTCATTACGTAAATGAACTTATCACTTTCGCATAAAAGTACAGAGGGTACGTAATAATCTAACAATGGATTAGTATTACGTATATATTACACAATTTTAATAAAGGATAATAACTTATTACTTTAACGTGGTAAAGCCATACTGCAGTTATATTATGGTTGTAGGACGAATGGGTCAGCTCAACACAACAGTTCAATGTTGCTGTGTTTCGTATGGTGAGTGTAGAGAACCGGAGATCCTTTTTACTGCATACGAGGCTATTCCATCTCAGTCCTCAAGGGCAACAACGAATCAGCATTTTGAATTATAATAGAGGATAAATGTAGATGTCTATGGGTCACAGTATTCAGTTATGGTGAAATTGCACCTTTTAACCAACTTCAAAAAAGGAGGAGGTATTTAATTCGACTGTATTTTCTGCCGAATTCCAAAAAGGTGACGGTACTCAATTCGACTGTATGTTTTTTTTATGTGTGTTACCTCATAACTTTGTACTGGGTGAACCGATTTCGAAAAGCTGATAGTTCTCTGTAGTTCTGACTGATCAGACCAATAGTTTTTGAGTTATTCTAAAATAACTTATATTGAAGTCGGCTGTACAAAATTATTAATTTTAAATTATTTAATTACATATTTTATGTTTGTTACTTCAGAACTTTTTTCTACGTGAACCAATTTTGACGTTTCTTTTTTTATTTGAAAGCGTGTGCTTTTCACGTGCTCTCATATAAATTTGATCAAGATCTGACCAGTAATTTTTGAGTTATCCTTAATAATGCGTATTTAATTGACTTCTATGATGATGTTCTCATTTTATCTGCCGACTTCCAAAAAGGGGACGGTACTCAATTCGACGCGTATGTATTTTTTTATGTGTGTTACCTCGTAACTTTTTACTGGGTGGACCGATTTCGATTATTCTTTTTTTATATGAAAGCTGATACTTTTCGTGTGGTCCCATATGAATTTGATCACGGTCAGATCAATAGTTTTTGAGTTATTTGAGTTATTCTTAATAACTTATATTGAAGTCGGCTGTACAAAATTTTTAAATTTTACCACGTCTTTATTTTCGTCTTTTGAGTTTGAAGTTTACTAGGTATCACACTCGTAACTATTTCCAAACAGAAGTGCCTACACTACTGATCTGCTATCTCCAGGCTATATAAAGCCACTAAGCCACTATAGTCTGCGAGGCATTTTATCTTAGTCGTCAGAGATGACAAAGCATTTGTTACAGACCCTCCTTCTCAGAATAATAATAGATTTCTAGAGTTCCTTGATATTACTTTAAACAAACTTAGCACATATAAAAATAAAATCCTAACCGGTGACATAAATATTAATATTACCCCTTCCGGTGTATATTACTATACTCTATGATTACCCCTGAGAAAATCGATGAACATCAAAGCGGCTCTTGTTTAGACCATTTTGTGATTAAATCAAATAAACCTTCTTTAACATTAGTTACTAATTCCTTGCTTACTGATTATCAAGCAATTTTATTAACATTACAATTAACCTTACCTAGAAAAAACTGCATACACAGCAAATTTTTTTATTAATGTTGGCAAAAAATAGCAGTGACAACTTTAAAATTAAGCAACACTCGAAATCCAATTTTTATGCCCACATTCTTTTCTAAGTTATATTCTTTTGTATTGTTAAATACCGACATTGATGAGATTTTAAGTATAACTACACACAATATATCTAATAGCATACTCAAAAGTTTTAAACATTTACTGGCCGCCCCGTTAGCACATATCTTTCAATTATGCTATACTCATCTAAAGGTATTTTCCCGAAAGTGCTTAAAAAAGCTGTGGTTTCTCTTATATACATAGCCGGTGATAGAAACTTAGTTAGTAACTATAAGCCGGTTTCAGTTTTATTTGGTTTAAAAGGCCAAAGCATTTGATACTATCTCTTGTCCTATACTATTGCAAAAGCTTGAAAAACAGCATAAGAGGAACTCAACTACAATTTTTTTCCGATTACCTCAGTGATCGCTTTCAATATGTAAAAATCGGTGAGTATACAAGTACTGAATTACAAAACAGCTCTTATGGAATCCCACAGGGCCGTATTCTGGGGTCTACATTGATCCTAATTTATATAAATAACTTGTGAAATCTTCAACTTCAAAATGGTGTCATAATGTCGTATACGGATGACACAGCCCTGTTGTTCTCAGCTAAATCACAAGATGAGGTTTATAAATACGCTCAGCAAAGCTTTAACATAGTAGCTAATTGGCTTCTTAAAAATCTCCTAAACTTAAACGCAGATAAAACACAATATATGTTATTTTTAATGAATGATACCTACTCACCTAAATATTTACGCTCATAGTTGTAGCTCGTATGATGGTACTGCATGTGCATGTCCCGCAATAACAAAAACAGACAATATAAAATATCTAGATATCACGCTTGACACAAATTTAAATTTCCGCAAGCTCATCGATTTACTATGTTCGTAAATTAACATATATTTTTACATATTATCTCCGTAACATCGCTGACTTCAAATTGACAAGACAGGTCTATTTAGCTTTGTGCCAATTCATACTCACTTATGGTATTACTTCCTGGGGTGGTGCTTCTAAAACAATATTGCTCCCATTAGAACGTGCTCAGAGACCAGTTTTAAAGGTAGCCACTTTCCGTCCATTCAGGTTTCTAACACATCAACTTTACTTAGCATATATTGTACTAACTGTCCTTCTGTTGTTTATCTTGAACATCATATTAAAACAGCTTAAAGAACTTCCATTTAACTTAAAATCCATAGACAGGAGAAGATTGGACTTAGTTTGTGTAAACCCTCAAACTAAAAACGCATTTGTAAACAGATTTTACATATTTTTAGGACCATTTCTATATAATAAGCTCAACAAGGCACTAAAGATATAGGTATAGTCTAAGTTATAAGAAATGTAATATAACTGTAAGGGAATTTCTGAATAAATTAAATTACGAAGACACAGAGAAGTAGTTAGAAATTCTAAAATAATTGTTATTTAGTTATTTTATTTATTAGATAATATAGTTTAATTATTTAAATTACCTAGTATCCCACATTATAAAACCATAGGGCAAGTGATGGTCTGAAACAAGTGATGGTACTCAACCTAGTTCAGGCAGGTAGCTAATATTATAAGCTCGACTTTTCAATTTTTCTTGTTTAGATTCTACTCGTACATTATTAACCTACACATATGTAGGGTTAACTTTATTACAGCATATTATTTTTGTTAGACCTATTGTTACTTTATTTAATTGTAATAATTTTTGTTCCTGTATGCAAACATGAGTAATTAAACATGAAATGAATAATTGTCCATAGTCTGCAGCCACACACCCTCGGATACATCGCCTGTTAGGTACCCAGTTAATGTCTTCATGATTCTAAAAATATCATTAATTCTTGTTGCAGGAAGAACCTAGTGCTGCAACCAGTAGACAGGGAGGAGGACGTCCACTTATTTACGTACAGAGACGTAAATAGAACACACGTGTCGGTGGTGCTGGCACAAAGTGTGGACCACTTGGTCGACAGCGACTCACCGCAAAATGTCGTCAAGTTTCGCCTTGGATGCGATTTTGACACTGGCGACGATCTTGTAAGTATATAGAGGAACCGATTCCTTATTAGCGCGTCAACAATGCACTCCGTAGTTTGTACTCTGTACACGCACCTCTGACACTCGTTCAATTAGTCTATAATATATGCTTCTGACGATGATTCGCGTCTGTAAGTATGCTATGTATAACTAGGGCTTGGGTGGGGATCATTTAGATTTTTTCGAACAATCATCAAATAGGTACTTATCTTTATCTTAATAATTTTTCTATTTCTCAGCCATTCCGAAAATTACAGAAACAGACAGACAGAGAGACAAAAAATTTAAAAATGTTATTCACGTTTTTAAATTTAAAAATGCTATTAAGCATGCAAATAGCCCCAGAAATTTTACGTGGTAGAGCCATTCTGCAGCTATATTATGGTTGTAGCACGAATGGGTCGGCACAAGCGGGGAATGACCACGCTCTCACAGAATACCATCGTAAAATAGCAGCTTAATGCTGCTGTGTTTCGTATTTTGAGTGTAGAGAACTGGAAACCCTTTTTAATGGAAAAGAGGCATTCCATCCAGTCCTCAGAGGCGACAACGCATTTGCATTTTGATGCTTAATCGAGGAAAGATGTAGATGGGCCGCAGCATCCACTTACTATCAGGTGGACTGCGTGTTCGTATGTCACCCTTATTCTATAAAAAAGCCAGTTATTTCAAAGTTACAGACAGACACTTCAATTTTTGTTTATGTGTATACAGATATCAACGCAAAGGGTTTTATACCGCCATCTTTTGGACGTCATAAGTACTTCTGTGATCTGTGCATTAGCTCTATGTAGAACGGTAGAGTAATAGTGTTCTTGTGACCCTAGGCTCTTTCGAAACCCAAAAGAGTGGTAATCTTATGGTTTCATTTTTCTAATTCCGCCACAACATGGCGTACACAAACATGGAACTGATTCAAAAGATGTAAGAAAACTGAAAAGGATCAATTTTGAAATATTTCCAGAAGTTTTTAATTTTATATGGCGATGGAAGTGAGCCTGTGAATCCTTGACCTAGGTAATTTATGGGACGTAATCGCAGTTCGGCTAGCATACGTGGATAATCAAAGTACAACATGCAAATACAACCTTCAATATCTTAATAATACGACATTGTACCTACCTAATACCTATATGTATGCTTTTGTTTCATGTTCAAAATTATTATAAAAGCGAAAATTGAAAAACTAAACTAAATAAACTAAGTATCATAATAAATGGGTATTTTAAAAACATTTAAATCGTCACACATAATAGTTAATATCATTATTTACCAAATTACATTAAATATAATAAGTGACATCTAGTGTCTTAAAATGTAGGTTGAATAAATTAAAATTTTGATATGCGTCAGTGACATCTAGTTTCGCAATACAATTTTTCTCGTCACGCCTTACTGCGCACTACTTTAAGGCTTTTGCAGTAAGTGTGGCGTAACATAATTTCAAGTTTTACTGAGAGATGGCGCTTTAACTATATTTTCTGCTTTCTGGTTTAAAAAATTTATTTCTCATAAGAATAAAACATTCATTTGTCTGAGAAATACAAGATTGACTTAAAATAGATACGTATGTTAATATTCTTTATTTTAATAGAGGAAAAGTAAAAGTTGTTTAACTAGAGTTTAAGTTCTAAAAATTTCGGGCACTGTAGAAAGACGCTATCTGTGAACCATATATTGAGATCATAATATAATGGAGTATTTTATTATAGTCAAAGGAACCAACACCCTTGTCTTCACCGGAGACAAGTTGCGGATACAGTTCCTTTAGGACGTAATTGAATATGCATTATATTCATTGTTTTGTCAAGATTTTCCGATCATAAATAGCTAAACTGATGCAAGGGAGCAACATAGAAAGTTCGGAGCGTCATAACATTCACCAACCAATAAATATAAATATACTCATAACGAACACTGCTGGATTATTTGGAAGATACGTCCCCATACGATCCCCTCCACAGAGACGACTACTATTAAATGACAATTATATGTACCTAATATTATCTAATATTATTTTTCAATATGAATATTTTATTTACTTAACTTTATTTTTTGCTTGTTATTTTAAATATGTAAGGCAAAAACCTAAAAATAATCAATTTAATATAGTTCGCCTGACGGCTTAATAATCGTTACAATAAAATCAAAATACGTCATCCATTGCTATTACTTTCTTGCAGGCGTTTTTAATCAAGTATTGCGGAAAGGTGATTCGGGACTGTGGTGCTTTGTGATATGCCATGGTATAGTCCCATGTTTTTTTTAAAATAACGGTGGCAAACGATTACACACTCCACCATGGTAAGTGGGTGCTTTGTTTTTAATTTAAATTAACAAATTACTATAAAATAATTAGTAATTTGTTAATCTAAATTATCACTCAAACGCTAGTAGGTATAAGAAGCTGTTGTAAAATACAAGTTTTAATTCAAGTTTATTTTTATGCGTTACAAATTCAAATTATTTATTGCATATTACCACATTAAAAATTTAAGATGGTAGGTACCTACATTAGATAGGTATAGGTACATGTGACGCCCTGCAAGGGCACAGCAACACTATAGGGCTTACTATTTTTGTATTATCTAACTTTTAAACATAAATTAGAACATATCATATCATCAACATCAATATTATTTATATAAATTACTTACTAAGTTACTCAGTATACTCAGAAATAATATTATAATAATTATTACAAAATTTAAAGTTTGGTATATTTCGTAAAGAGAAGAAATTAACGTTAAAACTTTGAGTATTTTTAAAAAGGCTACACATCTTACAAAAACATATTTTAAACATGCTCGCGTGCTAAGTTTTTAGCGCTAACAAAGAAAACTTAGTTTAGTAGTTATTTAGGTGGACAAAGACTCTTTTCAGGCTAAAAGTATTAAAGGAAGGAGCATCTTTGTACTCGTAAACCGTGTTGATTTTAAATTTTAAAAGTTATAATTGAAATTTTACTTGAACATGCAGGTTTCCTCAAGATGATTTCCTTCACCACATAGCACTTGGTAAACACTTAATATTGCAGTTTTTGATAGGTGCCGCCGGGCATCGAACTCTGGTTATTCACCTATTATGAAATTTACAGCTAGCGTTTAGTAATTAGAAAATCTATACATATAAACAAAATAGAAGTGTCTGCCTGTAATACCGAAATAGCTGCCTTCTATTAAGCTCAGCACAGCTAGCATGGGCAAAAAAATTATTACTCGATTATATCCACTGACAAGAGATAAAATTATCTTGTCCTCATGCCAAAGCACGACAACGGGGAGAAGTATATGCCCGATTGACATAACGAGTAGACATATATCCCCCGTCCGTAGCATGGAGCCAAATGAAAGATAAAAAATTATGCTTTTTTGACAATTGAAAGGGACAATTTTATCCTAGTTCATTGGACGTGGGCTGAAGTTTATATTCATACAAAAAATCTATCTAAGTCTAAGTCTATATCCCATTTTATCTACTGTAGATTATATCCACCGGTGTGCCCATGCTCGAAGGGTGTTTAAAACTAAGCGAGGGGATAAACACGATCTCCTTTACTCGGGGATAAAATTGTCCCTGCCCATGCTAGCCCTAGGTGTTATTTGTATGCTACATGTATTAAGACCTGAATAACTATTTTTGAAAAGAGACTCCTAGACCAGGAGTAATCTAGGGTATATTTTATCAGAAAATGTTGGCCTTTTTCTACCGACTTCAAAATGGAGACTAGACACAATTCAATTCTTCAAAAAGGAGACTAGCAGGCGGGTTGAGAGCTACAATTTTATTATTTAGAGCTGTTATCAGGAAGATGCTGCTGCCCATCTCTTGTTTCATTTCATTCTGTTGACTCTTACGACATCTCGTGGAGATGATATTTCTTACACCGTCACAACACGGTCTGGCTACGTCAGAGGCGTAGCGTATACTAATATAGACATGGGCGAAGTCGCATTAGTAAGGCCCCTTTTCTTTCGTTCCCAAAATCAATCCAATAGATGTATCCTACAAAACATGCTTTGACACGACATACCTACTCATAGTTAGTTCCTGACAAGTCTCGTATTCCGTCTATCTAACGGTCGCGGTCTTTGAATGTAGCTACAACGGCCTCTCAATCGCACTTAACACGGGTTTCTTGCCAGGCGCCAAACAAACACGCTTTTAAATTTGTGACATTATTTTTCGTAAAAGTAAAAGTCGTAAAAGTAATCAAATTAATTAGTTTTCTATGGTAAAGCCCCTTCAAGTGCGAGGCCGCGAGCGAGGGCCCACTTCGCCCACGCCTATCTACGCCACTGGCTTACGTTCAGCAGTGATATTAATTTTCATCATTACATTCAGAACCATTGCGCAAAGCCAATTATTTTGACCAATTGGGTGACAAACGAGCATACATACGAAACATAGCAGCTTCATGCTGCTATTTTACGCTTGTATTCTAAAGCCGCGTCTCCACCAAGTTTTGTTGCCAACTGTTGTGTTGGCAACAAAACTTGAAACAATGTCGGGAACCGTGTTTCCATTTTCGGCGGCAACATCAAAGGAATACGCTTGTTGCAAAACACTTGTTACCTCGGTGGAGACGCTTGTTGGAAACAGTTGTAAACAGTTGGAAACATAACTGTTGTCAACATTTTTGGTGGATACGCGGCTTAAGAGAGCGTGTTTCTTCCGGTCGAGCCGACTCATTCGTTCTAAAGTCATAATATAGCTACAGCATGACTCTACTACGTATATATTATAAGTACTATAAAATCCGTTCATCTGCAGGATTATAGTGCCCAAGTGTAAGCGCAAACACATGTACTCCCTTCTATATCCCTCCTTCCCTCTTATAGTCCGTAGGGACGACAATCAGACACGACCGAAGAGAGATCAGGACCAACGGCTTTACGTGCTTTCCGAGGCACGGCTGTGAAACACCGTTAACTTCCTGACTACGGGCAGCTACTCAGAATTTTTTGACGGAAATACTCAATATCTGTCACGGCAAAAAAAAAACTTTTAATTTGTCTCCACATAATTTTTTTTTACATAATTCGTCGCTAACGCCGCAAAGGGGCGAACCTCATTTTTTCAAAAAATTACAGGAGAGTAAGAAAACATTTATTATTCCCCGACTACTAGCTTTTTCATCAGAAAATTAAACTTATTTGACGTTTTTTTCATCTCCTGTCCTTTGCGACGTCAACGAATAATTGCATACAGATAAACGAGCAGCCAACGAGGTAGTCGAGCAGGCCCTGTAAACAGCACACTAGGCCATACAGTCGTATCCTAGGCCACGTCGTAAGACGTATCCGATACCGTGGATATTTATATGTATACACGCTGGGATATTATAACAATAGAATGTTCATTGAATCGCGTTATAAATTTAATAAGACTGTGTAAAGGGAGTAGAGCAGCGCGCATTTCCCGCATACGTACCGGCGGCCTTCACCCGTTTCGCTTTGTTGAATTATTTGCGGGCCTTTGAAGCCTTCCGTGCCAGTGAGATGCCTCTGTCTTGTACACGGTTCAATGGAGGCAATACGTACAGTTGTTAAAGCGTAACGATTTTCGCGTAAACAATTTAAATATTTATCTTACCGTTACCGTTTCATCCTGCTAAAGTCCACTGCTATACAGCCCATGTTATTTTCTGCCGACTCCCAAAAAGGAGACGGTACTCAATTCGACTGCATGTTTTTTTATGTGTGTTACCTCATAACTTTTTACTGTGTGAACCGATTTCGATGATTCTTCTTAGGGTTCCGTACCTCAAAAGGAAAAAAACGGAACACTTATAGGATCACTTTGTTGTCCATCTGTCTGTCTGTCAAGACCCTTTTTCTCAGGAACGCGTGGAGGTATCAAGCTGAAATTCATATCAAATACTCAAGTCTACTGTCCCTTGGAGCTGTGAAAAAAATCAAACTTCTAAATCAAAAGATACAGCCGTTTATGCCGCAAATTTTCGACATTCGCAAGGGAATCAAAACCTACAGGGTACTTCCCGTGAACTCAGAATCTTGAAATTTGGTACGAAGCAAAAAGCATAAATTTTTTGTTACATCATAATATAATAAAAATATTTTTAATAATTTTAAACTTATATACCTACGGATTTGTTCGGAACCCTCGGTGCGCGAGTTTGACTCGCACTTGGCAGTTTTTTTTGAAAGCTGGTACTTCTCGTGTGGTCCCATATGAATTTGATCAACGTCAGACCAATAGTTTTTGAGTTATTTTTAATAACTTATATTGAAGTAGGCAGTACAACATTTTTAATTTTAAATTATTATTAATAATTTATATTGAAGACGGATGTACAATATTTTTAATTTTATGTTATTTGTTACCGTTATCGTTAGTCTATTAAAGTTTACAGCTGAACATAGGATTGATTAGGATAGATTGCCTCATAGGGGGGGATATTTGCAATAGTTGCCACGCTTGGCAAGCGGGTTGGCAACCGCAGTTTTTTATATTTAGTCGTAATTAGGGAGATGCTGCTGCCCATCTCCTCATTTGTTTCTCTCTGTCGCCTCTTACGACACCCACGGGACGATATGAGCTAGTGGATATTCTTACACCGCCACTACACGGTTTAAATATTTCATGAAGGTTTGAAGAAATCCTAGCGACGATCTTGTCACTGAAAAATACCAGTAAGAATTTTAAATACATTTTTTATTCAATATCTAGATTATTTCTTTAAATAAAAACCAATTGCTGTCTGTTAAAACTCAAAAACGGCTGGACCCATTTTGATGAATTTTTTTGTGTGTCTGAGTGGCAGCCTAGATTCTGTTTTGGACCCGGTGGCGCTGTTGTCGAGATTCAGAAATCACCCGTGCGAAGCCGAGGCGAATCGCTAGTATCATAAAACATCTTTGGCTAGTATATAATGTGTACTTATTAAAGATCACCTTTATGTTTAATTTACCACTGGATCGGAAAGCACCTCAGTCCTGGGAAGAATCAGCAAGAAATCCAGCGAGACATTTTTTTACCATGTTTTTATTAACTTGCTTTCGTGTGCCTATTTCGTGTGTCTGTTCGGGTCAAATTTAGTATAGTCTGTTCGCTTAGATACGGTCGCCTTTGTGTCGTGCCGCCTTGTCACGTGCCGCATTTTCTAGAAGCTTTCCGATTAGCTAGAGACTTGAAATTTTGAACATAGCTTAGAATCGGATGACAAAGTATGAATATGAAAAATAGTCATGGTATATTTTTTTTTAAATTTCATGGTTATTTATTTAAGAAAAAGAACAGTTTACAAACATTTAATAAGTTACACGATTAAGTAATAAGTAAATCGTAATAAAATAGCTTGAAAGCGAACATCTCATTCCTAGGGGTTATAATCATCTATAAATTCCTTTGTGTACAATCAGAATTTGAACTTAGCGGTGGAAAAATGTTGTATGCTTTTTCTAGGATGTGTATTAAAAGCGTAATACATTGCTATTACTTTGTAGAATCGAGTAACTTGCACTATTAGCTACAACACTATTGGCACTACAGGCTACTGTTACTCCAATTAACAGAATGAATTTCACTTTTTTTTTTAAACTTATTATATTTTCTTGTACATACGTTTTCGTAAATGTATTGAAAGCCGAGTTAATATATTAATGTTGTTAAAATGTTGTGTCAGAAGCGCTTTAAGTTTTAAACCGTAGAGTAATTTAATGGGCTCTCTTCTTCTGCGAAACAAATGTAATTTCAGTGCCATTTTCGTTTCCCCGATCCAAAATATAGGTACGACATTATACTATGGAAATACATGGCTAAAATAAACTAGTCTGACTGTTTCATATCTGTATTATTTTTATATCATTTAGGGTGATAAACGAACGCATGAAGATGTAACGAGGATTAAGAAAAAAATGGTTTGGATTCGTGTGAAAAATGAATGGAGGAAGAGTGACATAGCAAAGTACAGAAGTTTAGCATAATTCAGAAGTGAGTGACGAAGTCACAAGGGACACCCAGCCGTAGCTTATAGACCAATTTGGCAATTAAGTATACCTTTAACCAATGAGCATATCATCATCATCATCATCATCATCACAGCCCTTCACAAGTCCACTGCTGAACATAGGCATATACGCATAGGCAAATGTAAAAGAAGCATGATAGGTGTGTCAGGATCGTTCAATAATGAAACCATAGCATCTTCGCCTCTGGGTGATAAGCATTGTGGTAATTTTATGTACGTGCTCACAGTGCACCTTGTAAGCGAATGCTGAGGCCCATAGACACCTACATCTGTTCCCGATTAAGAACCAAAATGCAGATGTGTTGTCACGTCTTATTATGTCTTGTTGTCATTAAAAAAAAGTCTTCGGTTCTAGTTCACATTACAGCTGCAACATGCAGAATCACTAAGTAACTTCTTTACTTATATTTACTTTGTCCCCAGATATCGGCTTTCTTGTCGGTGACCGTGTACATCGAGGATGTAAACGATAATGCGCCAACGTTCCTGGACCTTCCCTACAGGGTTACGGTGGATGAGCTGACACCCACAGGTAAATAAACTATAATAATATACTAGATAAAAGTACAATTTTGTAATGGCTCGCGAATTCTTATAATTTATAACATTTAAAAAATAATTGTTCTGCAAAAAATATAGGTATTATTGACCTTGGCTAGACCATAGATCTGACTAAGGCCGGTCACATACATACGGAATTCTGTTTCGGGTTTCCGTTTCGGAATTCCGAAGGGGTCGTCCACACACATCCGTTTTACCCGCAAAATTTCGTACGGAAAACTGTCGTACGTGTGTGACGGGTCATAGATTTTATATAGACTTGTTGCGTTCGGGATTCCGAATCGGAATATCGAAACGGAATTCCGTATGTATGTGGCGGGCCTAAGTTGATTCTAAACAATGTCGGAACCTGAGAGGTTATCCGACATATTTTCATCAAGTTATGCTCCATTCATAATTCATAAATAGCGCCATCTAACGTAACTAACCTGGTACTACCAGTATTTTTTTAGTTTTATTACTATAATACAATAAAAATGTAATGAGGGCTAATAATTTTTTTCTCACTAGATGTCGCTAGTTGACACTGAGGTTAAGTTTTTGTTAAACAATGTAATTTAATTGAGAAGTTGGTTTTTAATAAAACTTTTGGTTTTAGTGGTGCTCTTTAATTTTTTGCACATTTTTAACTTTTTTTTAATTTTTCTACTTTTATGAATATCTGTGGTTTGTTTTATTTATTTTTAATGTTATTAATATAAAATATAGCTAATAGTACAGAAAGAGACAATAACCTTTACATTTTCCGAACAGATTAACTTCCCCGCTATGAAATCTGTCAATTATTATACATCACTTTCTAGTGGCGCCGCCCTGGTGGCAGAAAAAGTCGTGGAGAAAGAGCCCTCATTAACGAAAATTGTTATCTTCTATTTTTTTTTTTAAAATGGGGATAAAGTAATATTTTTATGATTGATAACACATCTAGACATGAATCGAAAATACTGTGTCAAAGCGCAAACCTGAAAGTGTGATAGTTTCCCAGTAAAGTGTACCACAAAAATGCATAGATTGTGGGATAGTGATACATAGTTTATAATACTGTAACTGTGCAAATTTTATATAGATTTTTATAAAAGAGGTGGAGGGCACGGTCGGAATAATAACTTTTGGGAGGCTTACTTGTTTTCATAGAAATAAGAGTGGTAAACGAGCACACTCTCCAACTGATTGTAAGATGCTGTGGTACTAAGACACCTCTAATACAGCCCAAACCTGGTTCTACAATGTAAAATCTGGCCTTCATAACTTGTGTATTGGGTATTGTTTATTAGGGTAGCCAGAATGTCGAGCGTTGTCTAGATTCTCCTAAAACTACAAATTATTTCTAGACACCCGACACAGTACAAAAATTCTCGACAAATTATGTTCGTTTTCTTACCCTTATCATCAGAAATGAAATACAATGCTATATGGGGGACGGACGAGCATTATAACATTTTGGTTTGTTTTTTTAATGTTATGTTAATGCAGTGAGAACAAAAGCCACGCATGGCCCTATAAACATTAAATTCACCGGGATAATTATTTAAGTAGGTACTCTTTTTTTTAAGTGAAGTAATTAACGAGCAACTAACGAGCATTTTTTTGATTAACGAAAAAAGAATTACAGTTACAATTAAATAAACAGCCAGTTATCACTGCCAGGCAATAAACCCACGACGACTAGATTCTGGCCTCTCTTTAACTAAAGACATTTTTAATCTAAGAAAATCGTTATCCTACTCTAGTATTTTCTCCTGTACCGCGGAGACAGTTTAAATACGTAAATTGCACAAGCACAAAAATCTATACCCGGAACAACTATTTGTGGGCCACACAAATACTTGTTCCGTGCGGGATTCGAACCCGCGGCCCACAGCGCCGTAACACATTACTAAGCCACTGCGCCACGGAGCCGTCAATAATATTTTATTTTAAATTAAGATATTTAATTCCTGGCATATACGAGATAATCACCATCATCTACCGTTCAGTCACAGAGCAAATATCTTTCTTTTATTTCCCTTAATAGATTCTTCTATCTCTTGTCGTAAGATTAATCTGTTGCTCCCTTTTCGTCTGTACACAAGTCATTGGTCTTTTTTCAGGTCTTACAATTTTCAAAGGCATCCGCGCTTTCGATCGGGACAAACCTAACACCCCCAACTCGGACGTCCAATACAGCATCACTGACGGCGATCCCGAAGGACGGTTCGCCCTGGAGAGCTCCCACAAGCCGGCGCTGGTGTTGGCCAAGCCGATCGACTACGACGCGGGCGACAGAGAATTTTTTTTGACTATTACAGCCTCTGTATGTATTAAGAATTATATTGTTTGTTAGGTTTCTAGAAGATTCATGAAATGTTGCGTTACTATTTTAATATCTCTGACTAAATGAGTGATGTCCACACTAGGATTTTCTCCTGTATCGTGGCGATAGTTTACAATCATAAATTGCACAAGGACAAACATTCAGACCCGGAAAAATAATTTTTAGGCCATACAAATACTTGTTCCGTGCGGGATTCGAACCCGCAGGCCCCAGCGCTGCAACTCATTGCTAAGCCACTGCGTCACGGAGCCGTCTAAAATAACTAGATACCCTGTATTAATACTGATTTACCTCTGTATAAATTCAAAACGCATGTATAAAGAATTCTTACGAAGAAAGGATTTTATAAATTAGATGTCTATTTAAAAGATTCAATTAGAGATTAGAATGATTTCTTAGACCTTTCTTTTACTTTCGTTTATATTTTATGAGGTTAAATTGTAACGGTTGGGGGAAATATAGTCTACTGGTAAATTCTTACCGCGTCATCTCACAAGATCTCGTTGAAGGGACTTGTTGAAACGATGGTCAAAAAATGCTTTGTAAAAGCCATATTTAAATAAAGATATTTTGATTGAAATAGTTTGACTTTGCATGCCCACGTGTATCACCTAACGAAACTATTGCGTAGTGGTCTTTTTTATAGGGTAAGGGTAACAAACTAGCACACAGTCCACCTGACGGTAAGTGGTTGCTGTGGCCCATAGACATCTAAATTTATCCTCAATAAAGAATCAAAATGTAGATGCGTGACAACCCGTGAGGACTAATGGAATGCCTCGTTTCCAGTAAAAAGGGTTTCCGGTTCTCTACGAAACACAGCAGCATTAAGCTGTTATTTTACGCTGGTATTCTGTGAGAGCGTGGTCCTTCCCCGGTCGAGCCGACCCATTCGTACTACAACCACAATATAGCTGCAGTGTGGCTCTACCACGTGTTGAAGCGATAATCAAAAAGTGCGTTGTAAAAGCCAAATTTAAATAAAGATGTTTTTAAAGATGTTGTGTACGACCACAGGTGTACCATGTACCAAAACAGCAACCGGGCCGAATGGTATGTGGACAAGATCGAAGCTGTAATAAGGAACGAGCTGAATAGTATATTGTATTAATGAAAACCGACGATCAAAATATCGCGAAAATCTGCCTAGTGACTAACAAAATATTAAAGCAGTGTGGCATTTTCTAGTCAGCTTAAAATTGAGAAAAGGCCTGGTGTGAAAGCAACCTTAATTATATTCTGTAACTTTCATATATTTATTTATTTTATATTTATTATATGATTTTTTTCTCATTTCCTTCGGATTTCCCGATAAATAAGGATCTACAGCAGAACCAGAGTAACCAACACACTCTAATAAATTAGTAAGCTAAAGTGGCAATTTGCAGGCCATGTAGATCGAAGAACTGACAACCTATGGGGAAGAAAGGTTCTCGAGTGGCAAACTCGTAACGGTAAGCAAAGTGTAAGACGGCCCTCCACTAGATGGAGTGACGACCTGGTAAGGAATACAGGATGTCGAGGGATGCAGGTGGCTCATGGCCGTGCTTTGTGGTATTCCTTGGGGGAGTTCTATGTTCAACAGACGATTTGTGAAGGACTATGACGATGATGATTATGTTGATGATTTTTTTGCTGTCGTAGCTTGGTTGGCAACGGGAGTTCGATCTCCGTCGAACTCCCAATTTTTTAGATTTTTGTTAACGCCAAGTATATTATCACAAAGAAAATTCCGTGGAGAAAACCTGCATGTGAAAAATATTTTGAGGATATGTGAAGTACGTCTACCCGCATCGGGCCAGCGCAGCAAATCTTTTCTGCTTCAGAATCTCATCCACACCAGTTCAGCTGTTAGTTGTGGACCAACACATGGCATAGAAACACAATATCTTTTTTAACTTAAACGTTTCTCGTTTCGAACAATTCTATAGACGTAATTTCACATTATACTCGTACCATTTTAGTAAAAGTACCATTTCAATATCATCACCCTCATCATCATTACGGCCCGAGTCCACTGCTGAACATAGGCCTACACCAAGGAATGCCAAGGAATAAAAATATCTCGAGCCACCTGCATCCAGCAAATTTCTGCATGTCTTACCAAGTCGTCATTATGTTTTTAAACTGAAGTAACAAACAAATTTATAGCCCACTTGTTGGTAACTGGCCACTACAGTCCATGCACTCCTGCAGTCAACTTCAATCAAAGAAGGCTAAGATGCGTTGTCACCTCTGACGATAAAGTTTAAATGCACCACAGCCTGTGATTATACTGGCTCTCTAATCCCTTCAGACAAAACAATGCAATGTATACACTGCTATTTGGTGGCAGAATTAGGTAAGAGGGTGTTACTGTACTTCGCTTATTTTTTTTTATTAAAAAAAAGTTACTCTCACACTAGTATTTCCTCCTGTATCGTTGAGACAGTTTACATACATAAATTTCACAAGGACAACCATCCAGACCCGGAACAATTATTTGTTGGCCATACAAATACTTGTTCCGTGCCGGATCCGAACCCGCGGCCCTCAGAACCACAACATGTTGCTAAGCCACTCTGCCAAGGACCAACCGTTATTACGAGGCTGCCGTTCGCGAACCTTTCGTTTTTTCGGTTGTCGATTCTTCGAGCTACATGGTCGGTTTATTGCCACTTCAACTTACATTTCAGTATAGTAAGAAATTTATTTCTAGGATCGTGGATCTCCACCTCGCGCATCCAACGCTACGGTGCACGTCATTGTAGCGGACAATGATGACCTGCCTCCCAAGTTTACGCAAGACGTCTACAGGACAAGTATACCCGAGTTCTATCCGCTGCTGGTGAGTATATCTCGCCATATGAAACTATTATTACCTAAAAAACTAAAATTTGGTGTAGTTACGAGTATATAATTACATATTGTGCTGGTGGTGTAAGAATCTTTTCCACCATTCAGTGGATTTTTGTGGTGACAGAGCGAAATGAAACAGATGAGAAGCAGCACCTTCCTCAACTTAAAATAATAAAAAAACTGAGATTACTAACCAGCCTGCCAAGAATAAGATGGAATGGAATGGAAAGATACGGAATGGAGCGGATTGTAATGGAATAGATTAGTATATTTTTTTTGAACACAGATTACAAGTATTATAACTCAATTGAAAGGTAGATCCTTCACTCAAACAAGTGTTTCTGTGAAGGACCATCTACCCTTGTGAAAAGAATCAGTAAGAATTTTTGTTTATATATTAACAGCGTGGTATTGCTCCCACTTTATTCCCAGGGGGTTATTATTAATTATGTACTATTTACTAATCCTTATTAAACAACTTTTGCGTAGAAAAAATTTAAAAGTTTTTAATACATACGTATATTTTTTGGATCTTTGTTATGAAAGCCTATACATTGGCCCACGAAGGGATTACTGACTCCAGAGTTGTGTAACTGGTGTTAACTTAGTGCTTATTTCTAGTATTTAAAGCATGTACCTATATTAATATTTTTAATAAACTTATTATTGCTTTTGTGTACATACGTATATTAAATTTTTATAAATTGCAGAAGAAAGTCATAAGATACTAATAATATAATATATTACTATGTTATATAACAATATAACAAGATATTATGGAACGGCATTACGCCATTGTGCTATGGGAAAAAAACTGAAATAAAACTATCTATCTATTTCACACAAGTAAGGCTCCTAGTCTTTTTATGGCATATACTACAGAAGAACCATTGTAATATTACGAGTAAATAAGGCTTCTAATTTTTTACAATAAATACGAGTAAATAAGGCTTCTAATTTTATTTGAAACTATCCCATATTGAATGTGATTTATGGGCAACAACTATGTGTACGCGCGCTCCTCTGTGTGCGATTCAATTGACATTTTTGCCGACCGATCGACGCTTACGAATATGTGCGTGTGTAGTAAAATTATGCATTACCGCGCATTTTGAATTTAAAAGATACAAAGGACATAATGTTTGAGATTTTTTTAATTGATTTTTATTTTTACTTAATCATTTGCCTATATTACTTATTCTGAACATTCTCTGCTATTGGAAAATAACTCTCTGTAGAAAATCGGTTAAGTACAAGCTTGCTCTTTCGGAGGCAACAGTAGCGTTATAGTTAAGGGTTCAGACTGCAAATTGGAAGAGTCATATAAGTCTTAAAGTTGGTTTAGTTAAGGTTGAGTTGTGGGTATGCGTGACACCGGCGCGCCATGTTTACCTAAAGTATTTATGGGTGTGTATGAATGGTGTATGACACCGGCGCGTACTGTTGTCCTTATGTAAGTTGTGTGTGTGCGAGACATCTGCAACTTACTTTACGACTTTGTGTACCGTGTAATAGTGTTGTAAGAATATCCACTAACTACCCTTTATCGTTTCGTGGGTATCCTATGAGGTGACAGAGGGAAACAAACCATTAGATGGGCAGAAGCTTCTTCAATAAAACTGCGGTTGCCAGCTCGCTTGCCAAGCGTGACAATTATGGCCATTAGCCCTATGAGGCAACCTATTGCGGAGGTCTATAATCAGCAGAGGACTATAAAAGGCAGTAATGGTAATAGTAAATAGCGTGTGACGGCGGCGAGTGGTGTTGTCAGTTCGGAGTAGCGTGTGTGACGTGCGCGTGTGCGGCAGGGGCGGCGCGTGCACCGCGAGCTGGTGTTCCCGGCGGCGGTGCGCGCGTTCGACCGCGACGCGGGGCTCGGCGCGCCGCTGCGCTACCAGCTGCTCGCCGGCAACGAGCGCGGCTACTTCTCGCTCGGACCACTCAACGCCACGCTCTTCCTTGATAAGGAGATCGATCTGGAAGCGGAGACGTTGCCCGGTAAGTTCACGTTCAAGATAGTTACAGCCTGATAAAGTCATAACAGTAGAAACAATGAAACTACCAGGTAGGTTAAAGACCAATAAGTGAGGATAGAACTCGCTGAAGCAACGACAGGAACAAAAATCTGGATGCTAGGCTTTACTAGGTAGGTTGAAGTTCTTCTAATAAATATAGCGTCTACTCAACAATGCTATGCTTTACCAAGTAAGACGTCCAATAATCACGCATAGTGACAGCGTACGAGAATCCACTACCCACTTCCTCCCTTGATAGGTGACTGTGGAAAATGCCAAAAAAATCAAGCTTCAAAGGTACTAGCTACTTACCTTATATAAAGCGCCAGCACAGTTGTCCATGGAGTACTGTTGTCACATACTCACATATGGGCTGGTGCTGCAAAATGCCATCTTGCAGCGTTGGCCTCAGTGGAGAGACGTGCTAAAAGGCTCATTGGTGACCTTGATTTGGTTGAAACCAACCTTGTGAGCCTCGAGAACACGCGCAGAATATCGACCTCTGGTCTGAGCAGGGGGGTGATGTGGCGGAACTGTCGTCGCGCCACAAGCGAAAATACATCGAAGGCTAAATCGCGCTATTAAAGTTCCGAAGTGAAAGCAATATATATATTCTGCCAGAATCGTTGCACTAAATAGTTCGTAAGTACTCACTTATGAACCTAATCAGATGAAGCTGTCAAGGCCGCAGGGCCAACAGTATACACATTCAGAATATATATATATATATAATATATATATATATATATATAATATATATATATATATATATATATATATAATATATATATATATATATATATATATATATATATATATATATATATATATATATATATATATATAATAGCTGCGAACTACCGCTCGGAGCGTTGGCTACTCCCCGGGACCCCTGAACACCTTGCCCGGCGAGAGTTATCCCCTTTTCCTATCACGGCTACAGAACCAAACAGTTTGCTTCGACTTTTGTAATGCGTACAGTAAAGGAGTGGAATAATTTGCCGGCGTTTATCTTTCCGTCCGAATACAATCTGGGTTTCGTTTGTCACCCATATTCGTTTATCACACACGATCAGAAGAGGATTTTGACTGGCTGATGATTTTGATCAAAATACTAACGTAATCAGCATTATCTTATTGGCATTTCTATCTTACGAAAAATTCACAAGACAAAATAAGCCGTCATGCCGTTGCCATTTCTGCTGTTTTTATATAGAATATGGGTGAGAAACGAGCATACAGTCCACCTGATGATAAGAATGCTAGGTCGCGGTCTAGTCAATCTCTTCTTGTTATAACCATAATATAGCTGAAACATGGCTCTCCCACGTATGGAAATATAATGCGAAACCTCCTCAGCTCTGTGAACTTGGAACTCGAAGTAAAAAAAAATAATAATTGATACATATTCTACAAACAACGCAGATGATTGTAATACCGTTTATTCGTTTGTAGTCCTGAAAAAATCTTCTGATGATTACTAAAAGTTGTAATTTTTCATGAAATATAATAATTTTCGAAAAATTTTGATTACCAATGCGTTAAGAATCGTTTGTAGCTGATTGTAATACTAAAATATTTTTATTGTAGATTTTTTTTTCTAAAAAGAGTTATGATTTGAAAAAAATTGTAGAGATAATAAAAATTGATACATATTCTACAAACAACGCAGGTGATTGTAATACCTCCTCCTCCTCATCTACTGTAAGTAAAAGTCCATCGCTCGTTAAAGCTCATACACAAGTTGAAAGGTTTGTCATCGTTTTGCAGGTGAATTGCACTCGCATGTGCCTCGCAACTCGTCAGTCACTCTAAATGATTTGTTTCCGTTACCTTCACAGTCTATTCCGTTGTATCTAAGCCCGTTGCTAAATATAGGCCTTCTCCAAAGACATTAAAATTAATTTCGTGTTATTTTAATTTAATTCATTGTTGTATTATCGACGGCCGTGTGTCTTTCCTAGTGTAGTGGTATTAGGATAGTGATGTAAGGATTAGGTGATAGTGCACGCAATTGAGAAAGGGCGGGACGTACTTTTGCAAACTAGGTAGGACACATAATTTTAAGTTTTCACGCGGATCTGAAGTAACTAATTTTAAAATCTTTAATTGATATCCCTAAAGTAACGTTATCATTCTATTTTAATGATTTGTGTCAATAGTAAAAGCTCCGTGGCGCAGTGTCTTCAATGAGTTGTTTGCTGAGGGCCGCGGGTCTGAATCCCGCAAGGAACAAGTATTCAGGCCTACAAATAATTCTGCTGGGTTGGATGTATGTCCTTATGTAATTTATGCATGTAAACTCTCTCCACAATATAGAAGAAAATCGTTCGTTCTTTTCAGGGAACACCTTCGTCCTTCAAATCGAAGCAGCGCAAGTCGACAATCCTCTCAAGACCGCTCAAGCACGTATTGAAGTGGAGATCCTGGACCTAAACGACAATTTGCCGGAGTTCGAAGTGGATTTCTATAACATAAGTATCGTCGAAAATTTACCCAACGGTGAGTCTTTTTTAACCTTATCTTTTAACATTTTAGATAGCTGTTTATTGCGAAAAAACATTTTTTTCGGACATATGTAACGTCGGGGACGTTTTACAAAGAAATATAGACAGAACGCTACGTTCAAGTAATGCTGAAACCATGCTCAACTTCTCGATATGCGCTCACGCACACATATTTTTTCATTATTTCTAGCACGGCATAAAAATCAACTCTTAGACGCACCGTGTTGTTGGCTGTAAAAGTTTTACAATGTCTAGATTCTCTATCAGTGTTCAGTGCGCTGTGCACACTGGTCCGCTATAGTCGCGTTGTTTTTTGTCGCTGAGCAGTCTTACCTCCGGAAATATTTCGCGCTATTGTGTACCTACTTACATATATCGTGCAATGGTGAATTTTTGCATGCGATAGTGTATCTTATTTAACATGGAGGAAGATATAATTCAAGAAGATAACGAGCTTAATAATATTCTTCCCGGGACAAGTAATGTTGCGGAGTCGTAGATTTGTTTGATAGAGAAGAAACGTGAGAAAAAAATGCTTGAGTACTCTAGTTCTAGAGTTAATCGTAATAAGAGAACCCAGGAGGAGGATGAGGAAGAACGGTGGATAGCGGTAGGAAGAAATGGAAAGAGATTGGGACAGATGTTTGATGTGTACATTAATAATTCCGAAAAATTACCAAAGCAATTCGCGCTTGCTAAATTATTAAGGTCAAATAAAATTAGTAGTGTTAGCCGGGTAAAATATATAAACCCCTATAAAGTGTTTATGTAGTTTGAAAATGCAGAAAGCGCTGAGGAGTTGATCAATTGCAAACCTTTTAGAGAGAAACCTTTTGAGATACCAAAAACCATTAGAAGTTATTATATCTTACGGCGTTATTAAGGATGTAGAATTGGACTTGAGTGAAAAAGACATGCTAGAAATTATTTCAAGCAATAGTGAACTGATAGCGGTAAAACGTTTAAAACGCAGGAATAAGCATGGTAACGGCTGGGAAGAAAGTGAGTCAATACGTCTGGGGTTCAAAGGTCCCTCACTACCAACGTGTGTCTACATCTACGCCTTGAAGATAAATGTCGATCCTTACGTGTTCCCAGTTACCTAGTGTTCCAGGTGCTGGCGATTTGGGCACTCCTTGCGTATTTGTCCAAGCAAAAAGGTTGTGTGCCCTAAATATCGCAAGGGTCATGCTAACTGTGAGACTACCTCATATAAATGTGTGAATTGTACAGGAAACCATTCATCAATGGATAGATCGTGTCCTGCTTTTAAAAAACAGAAACGAATTCGGGATTTGATGGCAAAGTTCAACTGCTCTTATAGGAAAGCGTTGCAAGTTCCACCAAAATTCATACATTGTGCGCAGAACAATTTAATTCAACTTCACTGGTACGACCTAGTGTGTTTCCCGAGTCTGTACCTAAACACATACCCTAGCAGTCACAAGACCTGAGCGCCGCGAGGTGATAATATCATTCGACAATCACAATCTAACCGGATGTTTCTCAATCAGAAAAAGAATAAGAAAAAGAAGCAAAGTTCAAATGAAGTGTAAAACTGGAATGTATCTTCAGAATCAGAAACAATGAATAATAATTGATGGGTCGATAAATTTGAAACAATTGCTTGCAAAATTATATGCATTAATTTCTAACTCGCAAGAATTCGTGATCCATCTTCAATAGCAGTTTTAAGACTAATCTCTCCTATGTTTTGTTTATGTAAAATATTACACTCTATGTTGAAGAATAAATTAGAGTGGTTAGTTGAAAAAAGAAACTTCTTTCACGAAGAGACCACCGGGTTTAGAAAAACCAAGTTTTGTCTTGATAGCCTTAGCAATTTAGTTTCTAGAATTCAGCTGGGATTTTCGAAAGATCAATTAACGGTAGGTTGCTTTATTGACATTGAAAACGCTTATAACAACGTGGATATTAGAGCCTTACTTATAAATTTAGATCGATTAGGCATTGGTGCAAAAATCTGCAAATACTTATGGGCATTTTTAAAGGAAAGACAGTTAAGCATAAAGTTAATAAAAAATATATACAGATCTACAGGTCGTGGCCTGGCCCAAGGAGACTCCCTCTCACCTATATTATTTAATATCGATACTCTTAATATTTGTAAATAAGTTTCTAATGTTACGATTTCTCCGTATGCTGATGATTACGCTTTATATTTAACTAGTAAAAATGTCAAAGATGCGTCCGAGGAACTGCAAATAGCATTGAATAAAATAAGCAACGTGCTTATTGATCTTGGTTTGGACATTTCAACAACTAAAACAAAGGCATGTCTTCAAAAAAGGCATTAATAGACCAATAGACAACAGATATTGCTAAATATTAATAATAATGTAATAGAGGTAGTCAGTGTTGTAAAGTATTATCTAACCTCCAATACTAAATTTATCAAGTTACAGTGAATTCCGTTACACTGTGGCGTTGAATATAATGAACGGGCAGATGTCTTGGCTAGACAAGCTATTACTGGTGGGATTGAATATAATGTACTTACTCCCTTATTATACAGATTGCATTTGGTTAGTCAACAAACAATCCTACAAATTATGGAAGGAATATTTTCGGCCTATGCTCTAAAGAAAAAGGTATCTGGTATAAAACGGTCCAGCCACATCCCCTCAGAATTCCATGGATAGATAGTCACATATCACCAAGAAAGGACGCAGTAATGATTATGAGACTGCGTTCTGAACACATTCCATCCAAGAAGTTTGCTTATTTTATGAATAAAGTCCCGTCACCAAACTGTGAACAATGCGGTGTTCCCGAGGAATTAATGCATGTCTTGATGGAGTGCAATGCTGCTTTTCGAATAGTGTAAAAATACTTCAAAATAATTTGCTGATATAACATTATTTTATCCAATCCTCATTCTGATGAATCAAAATTATTTGCCAAGCATGACAATTCGTTTGCCAATTATGGCCATCTGTTTGCCAAGCATGGCTATCTGTTTGCCAAGCATGACAATCTGTTTGCAAAGCATGACAATTTGTTTGCCAAGCATGTCGATTAAGGCAAAAATCCTCCCTGCAACTACGACTTTTACAGACAGATGATATTTGAACGTATTGGCAACTGAACATAGTATTTGATTATATTCTTCACTGAGTTGTCATAATCCTGTGTTTTAATATTTATTTAATTTTTTATCTTTGACTTTATTATTGTCTAATTTATGTACACCTTCTCTATTCGTTATTCGTTGTATACGACAGTTTTTGCGCAAAAAGGTTGTCTAGAAGAAATCGCTTCCAGAGCGATAAGACCTATTATGAAGTAAATTATAATATACATACAATTATATGTACATTATATTTTACATAATTTACTTAAATTTGTTTTCGTTTTAATGCGTATTGGTATCCAGGTATATATACTATATATAATTGATTTACTGGTTAAGTTGGTGAAAGTGAAACTAGACAATTAATGTATGTGATTTTCTTTAATCAGGTTTCAGCGTTCTCCAGGTGGTGGCAACGGATAAAGATCAAGGAGACAACGGAGAGTTCACGTACCAGCTCAGCGATCCAGAGGGAGCGTTCTCCATTGATCCACGGAGTGGCTGGCTTACTGTTAGGAATCAGGTACGATGTCAATGTAGTTTTGGTAAATGATTTATTATATTTATATGGACTGTCTCTTTGGTCTAGTAGTCGTAAACGCGATTACTGAGCATGAGGTCCTGAGTTTGAATCCCGGGTCAGGCCAAAATCAGTTATTGGGTTTTTCTGTCGAGAAATACTCAGTAGCAGCCCGAAGTCAAGAAGCACGTAAAGCCGTTGGTCCTGCGCCTGAACCCTCTCCGGTCGTGTTGATTTAGCGCCCATCGAACTGTGAGAGTGATGGAATAGAGAGTGCACCTGTGCTTGCGCATGCACTTGGGCACTATAATCCTGTCCTGCGCCGATGGATAGTCTCCGTTGAGACTGGCCGCCGTGACCGAAATTCGGTCTGGAAGATTATTATATTATTACAGCCCATTAATCTTATGTGGTAACTTTCTAACTCACTTTTGTGTTTAACTAACTTGTCCTCAGACCCAGTTTAGGACAAAGTGTATTGTGAATATAACTTCGTCCTAGTTGCGAATTTTCAAATGCTTGTATGGACTAATCCTTGACCTTTATACAATAACCATACGAACAAAGTTTATGTTTAAACATATTTGGGTACTTGGTGGTTAATTTATAATATAAACTAGGTTTTCCCGTGGTTTTGCTCGCGTGGGTTTTGTTATACTAAAATATTTAGTGTTCCATGCCAAAATTTCGGATTACATCGTTGTCTGTCTGTCAAAGTTTGTGATTTCTCAGAGATATATAATAATAATTAATAATACGTTACTGCTTATTATCGGTTATCGCGTATTCGATATAAATATAATTCGTCGTGTAAAATAATAATTCGTTCACTTAATTTCACGTAATTTTATTGCATTATATGTGTAAAAATTTTATTAATTCAAAAATAGCGCCATTTATCGAATTTAGATTGTGTTTTTTTGGACCTAGAAATTGTTAGTTACTTCACTAGAGCGCGAACTATCTGATCTAAGCAGAGATGTGAACGATTTTTATTAATATTGTATGTATTGAAGCTTATATTTTGAGTTATAAATGTCCTGTTTTTGAAATAAAATTTAAAGTACAATAAGTATTTCTAGCTTAGGAGATATGCGTGATAATAATTATTTCTCTTGGTTCTTTTCTTTTTAGGCTATCAGGCTGTAAACAGTTATTGAAGTTAACTCTTTACATACCATCAAAATGGTCATCACAGTGGTTTTTAGCAGCTTAGTGGCTAAAAAATATTTTATTCACTTAGAGAACGCTGACCAAATTATGAATTGATGTGATGTTTTAAAAATATTTTGTTTTCATCAAATTGTGCAGATAAAGTGTGTACCTACCTACTAAAGATGCTAAAGTTTTTCAGATACCTTGAAAGTAGACACTAGGATTTAAGAAAAAAAGCTTGAACAAATTTCAAAAGAGGTTAACCATTTGTGTCAAATTAATAACCAATTATTTTAAATATGAATCGAATTAATTTTAACATTTTGACGTGTTAGCTTCGTGGAGCTTAAGAAGTTAAGTTGTAGAATTGTCGTAATGGATCTTGCAGAGAGACTAACGATCATAGACCATAGAGTCCAGTTAACTTTTAAGATGATTAATTTGCACATAATGTAGTTATCATGAATTCTTTTACAGACAGTTTTAGACAGAGAGCAGCACTCTTCACTAAGGATGAAAGTGTACGCAAAGGAAAAGAACCCGAGCGTAGTCGGCACGTACTTAGACAAGCAGAGGCTCTCCAAATTGCGTCGCAATCCCAACATACTAACGCAGCCTCCCGCAAATAAGACCACATACGTATTCCCGGATAAAATCGGAACCAAGACCGAGAATATCGAGTACTTCGAAGATGATCATCAGCTAATGTCATTTGTGACAGTTGAAGTGACGTTACTCGACGCAAACGATAACAACCCGGTTTTTGTTCCGAGCAACCTCTACGAATTTACCGTAAAGTCGAATGCGAAAATCGGTACACACATCGGTAATGTGAAGGCTGTGGATCCAGATTTAGGGAGGAACGGGATAGTGTTTTACGATTTGCAGAGGACTAGTAATTTGACAATTACTGCACCGTTTCAAGTGGATGCGAAAACCGGTGTGATTACTTCGGCAGAATCACCGATATTGGAGGGAAGGCATGCTCTGTTTATAGAAGCGTCCGATCAACCAGCAAATCCGAGCGAGAGGAGATATTCATTGGCTGTGGTAACGATAGATGTTACCAGATCAAATATTGGTAAATATATATTCATAGCTTACGAGTATTTTACATTTAAAACTTATGTACCATCTTCTTACAAAAATTAGCTTATACTGCGTGTATGCGCAACTTTTTCTGCCACCAGGGCGGTGGAACCAATCATTGAAGCAACAATTCCATTAGGAAGTTGGGGTCTCCAAAATGGCCGTTTTGTAGGCGTTCACAGCTTCTTCAGGTGATGAAAATCTCTGTCCACGCAATTTATTCTTTATTTTAGGGAAAGTATAGAAATCATTAGGGCTTAGGTCGGGGCTGTACGGCGGATGGTCTAATAATTCTATGTTTTCTTGCTCTAAAACCTCTTTTGTTCTGTGTGCGGTGTGAGAACTCGCATTGTCGTGATGGAGGACGATGCGGCGGTTGCAGGTCTCTTTACGGAGTTCAGAAACGACCTATGCTAGCATACCATTCTGCATTAACCGTTCTTTGTCCCTCAATAGGAATAGTCGTAACATGGTTGGTTTTGGAGACAAACGTGGCCACCAGTTTTTTTGCAACACTTACCGTCACCATTTTAACTTTTAGTAGGCATACTTTTCACGAACTAGAATTAGAAAGACTAGATAGATCGATAGAGACGCAGGTGTCCTCTCCGGCTGATACTTCGTACCATACAAATTGGAACACTCCTTTGTGCCTCGGGCTGGAGTTTGCGTATACGTCAGAGAGGACATCTGTTCTTGGCGCCTCGGCAGTCTTGATGATTAGGACCTGTTCATCCTTTGCGTAGTAGTTTGCGCTACGCGTAGACAGCGACGACCATCCGCGCGTCTACTAGTGTCTCTATAGGTCCCATAGCGGTAACGCCGAAACAGACCCACTCATCGACCACGTCCAAATGGTTAAAGATTCCTTGCTACAGCAGATCCCATCCGCAGAGATCGTGATCCTTGGCGATTTTAATGCCCACCACGCCGAATGGCTCGGTTCACGTTTAACTGATTATGCGGGGAGATCTATTTATGACTTTGCCTTGGCATATGGTCTTACACAGCAGATTGTTTCGCCTACGCGGATTTCAGATGTAGAGGAACATGCACATTTCTTATAGGATTATGCTGACCTATCATTCGGACGGATATCAGGTCTCCGTCGACGTCCCTCTTGGCTCCTCGGATCATTGTCTAGTCCGGAGTGCCGTACCACTCACGCTAACGTCGCGGTTGCAACCTGTAGGCAGCCGCCGTGTTTGGCAATCGGCCGGCCTATAGGCCGATTAGGATAGGATGCGGTCTTTTTTTGCATCCTACCTTAGGGGGCGGGATTGCTTCTCGCTGCACGATCCCAGCGTTGAAGCTGATTCTGTCACTGATGTGGTACTTCAGGGTACGGAACTTTTTATTCCATTTTCTGTAGTACCCATCGGAAGCAGGTCCTAGCCATGGTTTGGTCGCTCCTGTAAAATAGCATCACGCTATTAGCAGGAGCGCTACACTTTTTATTCCATTTTCTGTAGTGCCCATCGGAAGCAGGTCCTAGCCATAGTTTGGTGGCTCCTGTAAAATAGCGCCACGCTATTAGCAGGAGTGCTACCTATCGGGCCTGGGCTGACGCATCAACATCTCGGGATATATACACCAGCGCTCCTCTCCCTCATCTGCAAGAATGTCAACAAGTCGAGTGGGCCTGATGGAGTACCTCCCATTGTGCTGAAGACGTGTGCACCGGAGTTGGCATCAGTTTTAACGGGTCTTTTCCGGTACTCTTACTCCTAGAATAGAACTATAGTCTATTTCAATAAAGAAACCTCGGAGTGATGTAAAGTTATTTGTTACACAATGTCATTTAAATTGACAAAGTGCGTTTTAAATAAAAGTTTGTCGGTTTCTAGAATGTGCAGGTAAATACATAAAACAATGCCTCAGTGGTTTGCTCTTTAATTTTCTTGCAGATATTTAACTCATTGTTTTATAATTTTCTATTTTTAAGAATACCATAGTTTGGTATCTATTTCTAAACAAATTAATATAAAATAAAACAAATATTTCAATAAAAAACGTTTACCTCAAATTATCAGAACAAATTAATTGTCCCGCTATAAAACTTCTCAAATATTTCACCTCATTCCTAAGCAGCACCGCCCTGGTGGTAGAAAAAGTCGTGGATGCCCTCGTTGGTTCTATAGTCGTGGGGGCTAGTAGATATTAGGATAATAAATATACATAATATGTATATTCATCAACGATTCAAAATTGTCCATTGTGGTTAATCTGAGAACATACACACATTATGATATTATTGTATAATATACAATTATTTCAGATAAACCAGATTTCATCGGGGCGCCGTATGAGTTTTGGGTTGGTTCAAATGTTGGTATTGGAACTAGTGTTGGACAAATTAGAGTCAATGAAGCCATGGAGAAATCTGAAGTTTCATATGATCTCCTGCATGGATATGAAGAAGGAGGTAACGCAATAAATAATTATTTATATACAATCTAATACAGTATAGTATACAGTTATACATGGCTACCTTTTTTGCGAAAGCTTAAGTTTTTTTTTTAAAAAAAAAACACTAAAAGTTGGTAACATAAATGGGCTATCTTAAATCTCATTCATGCCACACAGACCAAGCTGGAGCGCGTCGCTAGTTCTTTTTAAAATAAAATATAAGTGATGAACGAAATTACAGTACACCTGTTGGTAAGTGGCCACTGTAAGTTTAAGGGTCAAAAAGTGTTTGCCGCGTTACCCCAATGAATCGGATTAATCGAAATATTTGTTTGTTTTTTACACATGCAGGTTTTCACGATGTGTTCCTTCAACGCCGCGCACGTGGTTAATTAGCACTTTTATTGAAATCCATACTCCTGCACTAGGATTTTCTCATGTGTCGTGGGAGCTCGTGCCGTTCAGTTTACGAGTAAATTGCACAAGGACAAACATCCAGACCCGGAAAAATTATTTGAAGGCCATACATATCCTCGTTCCATGCGGAATTCGAACCCGCGGCCCAAAGCGCTGTAACTCTTTGCTAAGTCACTGCGCCACAGAGCCGTCAATTAACAATTTCATTGGTGCGGGCATTGCACCCTCAAAGTATTACTAAGTACTAATTATTTGTTTCCAGTGCCGTTCGCAGTGGAGGAGCGCTCTGGAGTCATCACAGTGATACACGAGCTATCCGAATTCGATCGTCCCATGTACGAGTTTGAAGCGGTTGCCATACAAGACAGGATCAACTTGACTATATCCACAAACGCGACGGTACACGTTGTGGACGCCAACGACGAGAGAGGCATTTTGTTGAAGTAATTGACTTTGATCTTTACTTAAAGTTTACCGTTACAGCCTATTAAAGTCCACTGCTGAACATAGGCCTCTTCCATAGAGCGCTTAATAAAAGGGATATTTACCATAGTTGCCACGCTTGGCAAGCGGGTTGGCAAACGTAGTTTCTTATTTTTAGTAATTTATGGTAGACGCTGCTGGCCATCTCCTGATTTGTTTCCCTCTGTCGCCTCTTACGAAACCCACAGAATGATATTGGGTAGTGGATATTCTTACAGGGTTCAAGTTATTTAAAGTTTACTTTCCTTGTATATTTAATTTTGTTTTTGTTTTAATGTGTTGTTGTACATAAGAAATGTAATGATTGATTCATTCATTCTTTAGTAGTATTATAATAGATATCTCAAACCTACACGAAAATAACTTTTTAGGATGAGGGTGAGTCACTTTTCAAGGATTGAGAATCAAATCTAAATGTGTTGCCATCTCTGAGGACTAAGATGAAATGCTTCGTTTCGAGTACAAAGGCTCTCCAGTTCTTTATACTCACCATACAAAATACAGCAGCATTAAGCTGCTATTTTATGCTGGTATTTTTTGAAAGCGTGGTCCTAATTATATGACTGCAGAGTGGTCCTACTACGCGTAACTTTACATGATCAAGTTTTACCTGGTTTGGTTATTATATTTCATTATAAAATTTTACAAATTTCAGGGGTACCCAATCGCCAATCGTATTTCGTGTTAAAGAAAATGTGGCAGGAGCTATAATTGGACAAATATTCAACGTCAATAAAAGTGCGTCTTCAATAAACAACACTGGAAATATTAGATTCATAATTGCGAATCAACAAGATGTCACAGATGATATTGCAATTGGTAAGATTTTAAATGTTTTCTTATTATATTTTTAGTAATGCTTACATTCATTTTAACCTCTGTTTTACATCTGTAGGCCAAGATGGGACTATTTATACTCAGAAACCTCTTGATCGAGAAAAGAGAGACGCTTATAGAATGACAGTAATCGCTGAATTTAACAGGGGAATCATATCTGGCGCAGGAATTTATCAAGTCAATATTTATGTAGATGATGAAAATGATAACCCACCGATATTCGATATGCCCGTTTATGAAGGTGTCATAACGGAAAATGCAAAGAAAGGCACGGAAGTAAAAATGACTAATAAAATTAGAGCGCTTGACGCCGATATTGGTCACAACGCAGTTTTTTCCTATACTCTGTTTGGAGATGGTCACGATTTATTTCATGTGAATGAAGACAGTGGACTAGTAACTTATATTGGTAATAAATTGGATCGAGAAGAAAAAGGTTTGTACATATTAAAAGTAGTGGCTAGAGACAAAGGAAGTCTGAAATCAGAGGCAAAACTTACAATAACAGTTCTTGATGAAAATGATAATGAGCCAAAGTATCATCAAATTATTATACCATTGGGAGAGAATGTTGATTTGTTAGAGAAAGATGACAAAACTGATGTAAAAATATACAGAGAAAGGCAAAACGATGTAAATAGTGGAGTAACAAACATAGAAGTTAAACCAAAGAATAAGTTTTTAACCACAAACGCAAAGGGCCCGTTGTTTACGGTTCCAGAAAATGTTGCAATTGGATCGACAATATTAAAATTAAATGCGATAGACATGGACAGTGGTGCAAATGGTCAAATACGTTACGAATTTGTTTCAGAAACATTTATGCCTCAAAGGTCCTTGTCTGGGAACGCATTACAAGTTAAAAGATTTTTTGTGATAAACGAGAGGCATGGACATGTTGTCGTAGCTAGAACTTTACCTCCGGAATCAGAATTTAGATTGAATGTTTCTGCTATAGATGGAGGAGAATTGAGTGATCATATTACCATAAGAGTACTTGTCAAGGACATCAATGACCATTTCCCTATGTTTAAGAAATCTTGGTACAATTTTAATGTAGAAGAAGCTCAATATAGTAGACGAGTGTTGGGCAAAGTTGACGCAACAGATGCCGATTTCGGCCAAAACGCTAACTTAACGTACTTTTTACAGCCTGATAGTAAAGACTTGCCATTTGAAATTTCGCCCCTGAGTGGGGTTTTAAGTATAAATGGGGAACTAGATAGGGAGAAAGAGGATAAATATACCCTTACAGTAGTTGCTAGGGATAATGGTTTCGAAAAGAAATTGACCTCATCAGTCAGTGTAGAAATACAAGTACTAGACATAAATGATAACTCGCCTAAGTTCTACGCTTTTGATGAACTCTTAGAATGGAAACATCCAGAAGCATATAATTTATCGAATCATAACTTCGAATCGGTCATGATGATCCCTGTGTATAAGGCAACATTGAAAGAAAACGCTCCTGTTGGAAGTGTGGTTACGCAGGTATACGCAAATGACTCCGATTTTATTGGAAATGGGAACGGATTAATACTTTACAGTCTACCGCAAAGGAGGAACCAAATGAATATTTTCACAATCGATTCTAAAGAAGGTATAATCACAACCACAGGACGATTGGACTATGAAAGTCAGTCTGTGCATAATGTTACCGTAATTGCTTCAGACTTAGGCTCTCCAAGTTTAAGTTCAACCGCTATAGTTATGTTAACAGTTCAAGATGTTCCCGATGAGATAGAAATGTCAGACAAACCTGTTTTTATATCACGGTACTATGAATTGGAAATTGAAGAAAACGTCCCAACTCCCGTAGAACTCGTCACCTTAAATTTGACGGAATACTATGAGAATTACAAAATGAGATATTTCATTCTGAACGAAAACGACACCGATATTAAGAAGACATTTGTGATTGATCCACGTAACGGAACTTTGTATCTAGTACGGAGTCCAGATAGAGAAATAAGAGATATGTATGAGATAATAGTTAGAGCCGAAAGACAAAAGATTAGTAGAGAGATGCCGCATATGATTTATCCTGTTTCCGATGACGTGCTGGAGGGTATGACGAAGTTTGACGTGAAAATTATTGTAAGGATAAAAGATGTGAATGATAACGCACCGAAGTTTATTAACGGTGGGCGTCCGATGGTGACAGCAATTCCAACTACTGCTTCTTTTGGATATGAAGTTATACGGCTACAGGTATGTTCTTCTTATATACACAAGAAATCATTATGTTCTTCTTAGATTATGTCTAATTCTACAGTACTAATAATACCAACAGTAGCGTACCGTACCAATTACCAACAGTATCATGAATAACAGCGTGAAAATAGCAGCTCAATGCTGTTGTGTTTCGTATGATGAGTGTAGAGAACCGGAGACTCTTTTTACTGAATACGAGACATTCCATTTTAGTCCTCAGGGGTGACATCATCATTCATCATCATTATTACAGTCCACTGCTGAACATAGGGCTCCCCGAAGGAATGCCACAAAGTATGGCACAGAGCCACCTGCATCCATTGACTTCCTGCATGTCTTAACAGGTCATCACTCCATCTAGTGGGGGAACGTACTACATTTTGACTACCGGTACGAGGCTGCCACTCGAGAACCTTTCTTCCCCATCGGTTGTCGGTTCTTCGAGTTATATAGCCGGCCCATTGCCACTTCAGCATACTAATTTTTTGAGCTTTGTCGGTTACTCTGGTTCCACTGTGGATATCCTAGTTTTTAAGTCTGTCACTCATAGAAACGCCGAGTATAGCCTTTTCCATAGCTCGCTGAGCCATTTTGAGCTTCCTCATGCGGCCAGCAGTGAAGGGCTGGCAACTCGCACTGGTTGAACAATACAGTTTTGAGGTATGTCTAACGAGAAGATCTGTCGTAATCTCCCGAACGCTGCCCAGCCAAGTGGAATCCGTTGATTGACCTCTCGGTCGAAGTTGGACTTACCTAGTCGGACTATTAGTCCCAGATAAACATATTGGTCAACAACTTCGAGCTTAGTGCTCCCAACAACTACCGGCACAGGTGTAAAATGGGCGTTAAACATGATTTTTGTTTTGTCCATGTTCATCTTAAGACCTATCCGTTGGGAAACACTATAGAGATCATTGAGCATAGTGCTTAGATTCTCTAGCGATACTGCTATAAGGACTATATATATGTGAGTGATGTACTTGCCATTGATGTTGATACCGTATCCTTTCCAGTTCAGTAGCTTGAAAACGTCTTCCAATGCAGCGGTGAAGAGTTTCAGGGATATTACGTCACCCTTTCTTACACCTCTCTGTACTTTCATAGGTTTCGTACTCTGGTTCTGTACTCGGGTAGCCATCGTAGCCCTACTGTACAAACACTTCAGCACTTCGATATACCGAAAGTTCACTTGGAACCGCTGAAGGGACTGCAGCACCGTCCAAATTTCGTCGCAATCAAAGGCTTTCTCATAGTTCACATACGCAAGACAAAGTTGCAGATTGTAATCTTCGGTCTTCTGTACAATTTACCGAAGGGTATGTATAGAATAAAATAGAATAGAATAGAATAGAGAATAAGTACCAATTGTCTCACACCTGTTGCTTCCCGCTGCTGCCGGTTATAATACTATTATTAAGGTAGGTGGTGAATGTTCTAAGCATACCACGACAGCTGGCTGTCGTGGTTATGTGGGACTCACTGCGACTAACCTAATCTAACCTAAGTGCCTACCCACTAAACACCACCTGTGAGACTGGCATTGGCTTATATGGCCTTTCTGCCGAATCGGAAGCGACCCTCTTTAGGGAAAAGGGGGCGCAGGCGGTGACGAGCCGCTGAGGGGGTGCCTAACTAAGACAAATTAAGAAGAGTCGGCCTGAGCCGTCAGGAAGCAGTTCAGGTCGGCCGAAAGTTTGTTTGGCAGGCCCGAGAGAGAGTTTCTCGGTCTTCGGACTCGGTAGCGAGAAGGGAGTGGGGCTGCATAGGAAGCTGGCTCACGAATGAAGTGATCAGAGTGAGATTCTGAGGCTTTCAAGAAGTTCTCAGAGAGTGTTTTTAGAAATTGTTGGATTGTGGGTAGCTCTAAGTCTCGATGAAGGTCGGCGCTACGAACGTACGAGGGTGCTTTTGTAGCTCGATGACAGAAGAGGTTTTGAACTACTTGGAGTTCATTAATGATCATTTCGGGATTAGCGTGGGCAAATATGGGGCCCGCGTAAGTCATGACTGGTCGTGATATACCTTATAAAGGGTTCGCTTGTTACGGAGGGACATTTTACTGTATCGGCCCAGCATACTGTTGAGCCTACTCAGTTAGAAACGTGCGTTGCGGGTTATTCTTTTGACATGGGGCCCGAAGGTGAGCATCGTGTCAAGGGTGACACCTAAATATTTGGCGGTCGTATGCGAGGGGACAGGGGTCCCTAGCATATCGATTGGCGGAATGTTATTGGGGCGGCATCGTTTACGATCGAAGTGAACGGCGGAGCTCTTTTCCTGGTTCACACCGATGCGCCATTTTTGGAACCAAGTTCCTAAGTCTTCAACGCTTTTACAATGTCGAAAAAGACCGCGATGGTTTTATGACGACGAGAATAGAAACCGCTCAGGATATATTCCACAATATGGTGAACTTGTTGCGGACATGAATGTTTCGCTCAGAAACCAAATTGGTGGGGGATGACAAGAGGGTCACCGTCTGTGGGAAACAGATGGAGCCTCATGCCAGTAAGGATGACACCTTCGAAGAGTTTGCCCATGGCCTTGAAGAGGCTTATGGGACGATGACTGGAGGGGAGGTTGAGAGGCTTTCCTGGCTTGGGGATACCAATGACAGTTGCCTCTTTCCGCGTAGTGGAAAAGTAACTAAGATTGAAGCAGGCGTTGAAGATAATAGCTAAAAAGGTTAACACCTGCTCAGTGAAATGTATAAGGACTTGGTTGGAGATGCCATCCGCGCCCGGAGCCTTTATGGGCTTCAGTCCTTTGATGAGGGATGAGATCTCATAATTGGACACAGTGATAGGTCATTGGACACAGTAGGCTGTGGGGGTGAGTTCCGGCGGCGGACCTCATCCTCCACTGTCTGGATGTGGGAGGGGTCGGTGGGTTGAGAGCTAGGAGAGCATTGTGCGGCAATGCTGTCTGCAAAGCACTCAGCCTTTTCCTCGTCCTCGCAACCGTGCCGTCGGGATGGGAGAGACGGGAGTGTGGGTGATAGCGTCTATGCGGTGGACTCTCGCCATCTGATAGTACGCTGTATGAGAGGGAGAGATATTCTCCATGAGCTTACTCTTTTCGAGGTCTCGAAATTCGGAGAGGCGGAAACGGACTTCTCGTTGAAGACGATTGGCCGTACGCCTGTAGTCGGTGTGGGATAGATAGCTGCTCTTCGGAAAGCAGCTCTCTTGGCTTTCATTAGGTTGTTAATATGTAGGGGAAGACCATCATTATTTGCAACCGGACGACCCTTTCATTCTCCTTAAGGGAGGATTTTATAAGGGTGGAGAGAGATTCTACCGCGGTGTCGATTTTTTCGGGACTGTTGAAGTCCGACGAGAGGGAGATGGGGGAGTCCTGTAAATCCATAGCTTTAGCTATATGGTTGCAGTATGAATAGATCGGCTTATATACGGCAAGACTACGCTATCACAGGATGCAAAGGTAATGCTCCCCCCTTCACATGTAGAAAAGAGACCGTCTATAAAATTATAAGAAATTTACGTTACCAGGTTAAAAAAATATATTTTTGTCTTTCCCAAAGAGATCTTTCTTAAGGTTTAGTTATAGATTTTAGTTAGTTATAGGTCTTATTAACGTTGTTATTGTTGGTCCTAACCTTAATTACGTTTGTTTAGCAACTTAGTCCTTACATGTGTCTTTTGAATATTCACTAGAGCAATCAAAAGTTAGTATTCATTCTAATAAGTTTAAAATGATTATTATTATAGACCCAGAAATTGTATTGTTTGAACAGTGTGCTCGTTTATCATATGTATTCTATAAAAAAAAATCGGTGATTGGCTGTGTTTTGGACGCGGCCGTATTTCATGTTAATACGTAGGTATACGTAACGAAACGATTGAGTCGTTTATGCGTCACAGTCCTTACTCAAAGTAACTAATTCTTTGATCCTTGAGCTGTCGAGTGTTGTTATTAAATATTGGATGTAGATTATAGATATGTAGCTACGACACCAAAGTGTATGCCACGATTTTGTTATGTCAGATTCCTGAATTACCTTTTACTATAGAATTTTTCAAGACCTATTTACGTCAATAAATATAAAATAAGAAGAGATAGTTCAGACTTTTGTTGAATTTTGAACTTGTAACGGTGATGATGATGAAATAATTATATCAAGTTGTCACTTGGGTTAGGCGGTTGACGCGGACGCCGGTCTAAACGCGGAGGTGCGCTACCACTTGATGAACTCGGCGGGGGGGCGGTTCTCGGTGGAGGCGGAGAGCGGGCGCGTGCTGGCGGCGGGCGGGTTCGCGCGCGACGCGGGCCGCGTGCTCGGCTTCGACGTGAAGGCCACCGACCGCCGCGGCGCGGACGACGGCCGCTCCGCCATTGCCAATGTCTTCGTGAGTACACACGCACACGCATGTGCACACACATGCGCAATTACACATTATTACTTACTCACTCACTTACACTTCGACGTCAAAACCACCGACCAACGGTGCGCGGAGGATTTCTCTCTACTATCGCCAACGTCTTAGTGGGTACACACGCATACACACACGCACATCTTAGTAAGCTATCTAATGTCACAGAATAAATAATAGCTAATGTAAACGCACGCAAGCATACACAAACATGCACAGGCACACGCATTCGCACAATTAAGTGCACACGCACGTGCATACGCACGTGCACACGCACACGCACACGTACACTCGCGTCCTTAACTAAATGTCTGAGGGTCATCTTTTGGTCTAACATCGTAAATCTTGAACTTTCTTTAGGTACGTAATCTTCGGTTAAGCACGTCATTTGGCAGCCTTTACATTGTTTGTTGTTAGTGAATGTTTTCCCGTGTTAAACTCCTTGGGCCAGTAACTATAGGGGGAGCAGAATACCCCATTGTTTCCGACAAGACAGTATAGCATATACTTATATCTTTACTATGTAATTCTTTCAAACAGCTTACTAATGACTAATTTATCTTTTAGAAACGATGACCTTTTTATTCCCTAATTTAGTTCTAGATCTAATTATGTTGAATGGGGGGGGGGGGGGGGGGGTGTAGTCCTTTTTCACTTTAAACTAACGTAACCGAAAATAATAACGATTTTCTCTTGTATCATGGAGGCAGTTTACATACGTAAATTGCACAGGGACAAATATTCAAATATTTAAAGCCAGAACAATTACTTCTAGGCCATACAAATACTTGTTCCTCTTTAGCATTGCTGTTTTTATAAGAATAGACTTACTTGTTCAACCTACAACACAAATTTTAACTTTCAATAACACAAAAAATTACTATTACTCAGTCTCTAGCTCATTACAATAGAATGCAGAAAGTTATTATCAATGGTAAAAGTTCTTCCGGGTTGTCCGTAAAGATGTGTCCCTCAGGGTTCGATTCTTGACCCATTCCTATTTTTAGTGTATATTAATGACTTATTTGTGAGTGGGGCCCCCATATATCAAAACTAGCAAGTAGATTAAGCTCTGCAGCTTATGCTGTATAAAATATTAGAGATCTCACTAGTGTCGAGACAGCTAGATTAGTTTATTTCAGTTTTTCTCCATAGCATAATGTATTATGGGATTTTGCTATGGGGAAATGCGGCTGATTTAGAAACTAACTTTTGCTTTGCAGAAGAGGGTCATAAGAGCTATTTACAACCTTATACCGAGAGAGTCTCTTAGAGAAAAATTTAAAGAAATAAATATATTAACTTTGGCTTCTCAGTATATTTACGAAAATTTAATGTATGTTCACAAAAACAAAGATAGTTTTAGTAAAAATAAGTGATAAAACTGTAAACACTAGGAGCAAACACAAGCTAGTGATACCAGTTTCTCGACTCCACAGAGTCAGTAATTCATTCTTGGGGCAATTTATACGCTATTACAACAAAGTATAAGTTTGTATAAAAAGGGTTATTATAATATTAAGGAATTTATGGATGATAATAACCCCTGGAAATGAGGTTATCCCTATCAAGCTATTTCTAAAATAAATTTTGTAAATAGTTTGTAATCATTTATATTGTTCATTTCTTGCTGGTTATTCCCAGGACAGAAGATTTTTTTCGGACCAGTGGTAAAGTAAAGCAAAAAATGACTTTCAATAAGAATTACTTATCATCAATAATGAATAAAAATTATACCGTTCTATTCTATTCTATTCTATAACAATCCGTTCACTTTTAATGAACAGGTATACGTCCTAGACGAGAGTAAACAGCTCGTCCTTGTCGTCGGAGCGAAACCTACGGAGGTGGAGAAAGAGATGGCGAACATCACGCGCCACCTCTCCAACATGACCGGTTATGACATCCGCGTGCGCAGACTTGAAGCTAGTGCGAAGTCTTCAATGGATGGACATGCGTAAGTAAAATTATATCTTAAACCAATGGCCATTTTTACCTCGAGAACCTCCAATCTGGTAACTTTATCCAAAATACATACTACTAGATGAGCTCTGCGACCTCAATACATTGCGCACTAAGTTACGGTCAATTCTCCGTAACTCCTTTAGTCAACTGCTAGCGGTCGAGATGACTAGTTCTTTGTTTTGTTAACTAAGAACATTGTTTTCGACGTCCTGACACTGATTTTGTTAAATATGACTAAGAAATCTGTCGTTATTTATGTGCGTACTTTGTCAAAATGATTTGATGCTCATTTCAGATAAGTATGTAACTTAAGAACGTAACGTAAGAGCCGTGACAGCTCAGATGCAACCCGGGTTCGATTCCCACCGGCACCAATGAAATTGTTAATTGCAATTTTAAGTGCTGATTTAGCACGTGCTCGGTGGTGAAGGAAAACATCGTGAGGAAACCGGCATGTTCAAAGACATGTGAAGTTCGCCAACACGTTCGGGGCAGCGCGTCGGAGGATAGATGTAGATGTCTATGGGCCACAGCAACCACTTACCATCAGGTGGACTGTGTACTCGTTTGTCACCTTATCCTACAAAAAAAAATTACATACTCCCAGAACCGGCGACCACCTTTACCGATAGCAACGCATTCCATCTTTGTTTTTAGACGTAACAATGCATCTAAATCTTGTTTTGTTAAGGATGTAGGTTTCTATGTCTTTGAAAATCTCAATTTGTTTCTGTGTCAGCATCGATCATGAAGCTTATGCTTCATGGCATCGATATATATATACTACGCACTAGATTGCGCATTCCGAACATGTTCTACTATGTAACTATGTTCAACTGAACTGTACTGCAATCCGTATACTACACTAAATATTGCGTAAATTGAAGATTGTGAAATCCATAAGATAATTATTATTACATTTTATTTAGAAATATGTTTGTTTAGATTAAAATAAGAGTATTTTATATTAAATTCTTATAATTATTTTATATCAATATCTTATTTTATATTAAATTAAAATCTTCGCGTATACGCGACTCTACTACTCGTATCTCCCGCGCATGCGCGAAGACATAGAGTAGCGCACAATTTTTGTTTGGAATAGCATCTCTAGTACATATAACTCGATGTATGTCATATTTTAAGGAAAAATTACGATATTATCTCACTCATAACCTATCTCATTCCACGATAAATTTAATAAATGTTATAATTAATTAATTCAAAACAGCCCATTACAAATTATTATGTTTATTTTAATTTTATATCATATTTACTATTTTGTGTTAAAATGCGAAGTTGATTGTGACTGCAGACTGTATCGCATCTACACGTATTTTATTATTGTTGCAGGACCGACATGTACGTTTATGGCATTGATCCGTTGTCGAATGCAATCATCGACATGGAGGTATTGCAGAAGTGAGTATTAAATATTAGTTATTAAGAGGTTTTTGTTAAAAATTATATAGACAGAGAGCGGATGTTCAACTTCTTCTTTTTTATAATTCTTTTTTGTGATTCTTAAAATTTATAGGTTTGTATATTAAATGAGCTGCATTTAACTTTCAATTGCACATTAATATATAAAACACAGATATCTAATATACAAAATATAAAATGAATGCATTTTGTCTTGACATTCTACAATCCTGCTCCATATAGTAATGAAAAAGGAATATTTGAAATTATACAAAATTCAAAGCTTAGGTTGGTAGTTTTTGATAAAACTAAACTTTAATAACAAAAAAAGATAAATGATAAAAAATGTTAATATTTCGTGGCAGATTGCGCAGAAACTGTGAGTGACATCGCTTTTGTATGTACAAGAGATTGATAGCAAATTAATCAAGCATTTTTTTATCATCCTACCTTGTACGGTTTTCTTTAAGCCGGCTCACTCCGGTGGGGGAGGGAGAGTGGATAAAATTTAACTTCGCTGTATAATGTACACATTCCGATAGATAAAAGTACTCCATTAATTTTACCAATTTTTCCATACATTGCTATCTAGAATGCTTGAACTATTAGTAAATCTGTCAGTAATTACTTGATAATAACTAAAATTATTTGTTGATTAAAATTCTTGAAAAACTTATTGACCACAGACTATCAAGTGTTTGACATTATCCTTAGGATAGTAAAATAAATAACTTTGTACTTACTCTGAGACATTGGCCGTATGAAATTCAACAAACCACATAGTTTGTCCAAGCAAGCGACAATAATGTGGAAATATAATGTATGTTGTATTTTGTAACTCATTTAGTTTTCAGCACTCTTCCACTTAAATTTAATTATGACAATTTTCACACGCACCCGAGCGAGCAATGCTTAACTAGTATGGAATGTCTCGTTTTCAGTGAAAAGGGTCTCCGGCTCTCTACACTCACCATTCGAAGCATAGCAGCATTGTTTTGCAATGTTAAGGTGGTATTTAGTGCGATCGTCATCGTTTCCGTTTGAGTCGATTCGTGCTGCAGCTCTATGTGACAAAATTAATAAAATTAAAGAAAAATTTAATAAAGAAGATTCATGTGGTACGGTAATGCTACAGCAATTTTGTAGTTGCAGCACGAATGAGCGGTTCGACGGGGCTCATAGAATACCAGCGTAAAATAGCAGCTTAATGCTGCTGTGTTTCGTATGGTGAGTATAGAGAACCGGAGAGTGACTACACTGTATCTTGATTCTTAATCGAGGATAGACGTAAATGTCTATGGGCCACAGCATCCACTTACCATAAGGTGGGCTAAGTGCTCGCTTGTCATCTATATTCTATAAAAAAAAAACTCTTCGTTGATCCATCAGATCGATAATGAAGCGCGAGACGGGCACGATGTCGGTGGGCGGGTTCAGGGTGCTGGGCGTGGGCGGGCGGGAGGCGCAGAGTGGGGGAGGGGCGAGCGGGATGCGGCTGCCCAGCTCCGCGCAGCTCGGCCTCGTCGCGCTTGCCGCGCTCGTGCTGCTCGCCGCGATCGCCGCCGCGCTTTGTATTCTCTGCAAGACCACCAGGAGGTAAAGTATCACTCGCACGCGCGCATGCCTACACACAAACACAGACACACAAACAGAGAGTCAGAAACAGAGGAAGAGAAAGAGAGAGACACAAACAGTGACAGAGACAAAGAGAGACAGAGGGAAAGATAGGTGGATAGACAGAGGACGGGAAGAGACGCACACATATATACTTCCGCATTAATATACAAAGAGAGAGAGAGAGAGAGAGAGAGATAGAGAGAGAGAGAGAGAGAGAGAGAGATAGAGAGAGAGAGAGAAAGGCACACACATATACTTTTTTTTTAATAAAATAGAAGTGGCAAACTAACTTACAGTCCATTTGATGGTAAATGGGAACTGCATTCTATGGACAACTGCAGGCGACTTCAAACAAAGAAGGCCACAGATGCGACGCAAATGTACACACACACGCACGCGGCTGCGCAGTTACCAACCAGCGTCCCGATTGGAAAATGAAATAATGGCTTAGTCCTACGATACACTCAGTCTCATTGTAGTTTTGAAAAGACGTCATTGCCCTTAAAACTTACGACAAATTAAAATATAAAACCTTATAAAGCATTCTCACTTTATGTAAAAACTTATGTGTAAAAGTTTAAGTTAAAATTCAAACACGTTTAAGTCAAGGTCACAATATAACGATATATTATATATTACGTGGTAGAGCCATGCTGCAGCTATATTAGTAGTATAATAGTAGCACGAATGGGTCGGCTCGACCGGGGAAGAACCACGCTCTCATAGAATACCAGCGTAAAATAGCAGCTTAACGCTCCTGTGTTTCGTATGGTGAGTGTAGAGAACCGGAGACCCTTTTTACTGGACAAGAGGCATTCCATCTTAGTCCTCACGGGTGACAACACATCTGCATTTTGAGTCTTTATTGAGGATAGATGTAGATGTCTATGGTTCACAGTAACCACTTACCGTCAGGTGGACTGTGTGCTCGATGGTCACCCTATCCTATATAAAATGGTTATTGAAAAATATTATAACAACGCATGTAAAATTTAGTAAGTTCATTTGATTTCTTGAGGCAAAAACTAACCAACTATATACTTGTATTAGTAATGGAGTAAAAATCTTTATAGAAATCGAGTCTGATTATAAAAACATCGTTTCTCTGAAAACATCTAAAGCTTATGACTGAAGTCTAAGTATGAGATGAAAGATAACTTCCTACTCTGTTCCATATACTGTTAATTTCCCTCACGTATCACTTTCGTTTCAAATTTTATTTTAATTTCATATTTATTACCTTATTAATCATAACAACATAACATCTAATTACAACTAGTATAATATCGAGCAATAATTTAAAAGAACTTTACAGAGTCTGTTATGAGACCAAGAAAATCAATAGTGAAATGATTATTTTTATAGAGCACTATAAATGCATAAATAATGAAATGGACATTCAGTTGCACGAAATAAAAGTTATTAACACAATCATAAAATGAAACTCAACAACGTGTGGGATTGCAACGTCCCTTTAGTCGTAAAAGGCACTTAGAATTTGCATTGTTCAAATTCCCTTGCTCTTTATTTTCTTTCAAAGTTCGTACCCATTTTATAGTTTAGTAACTAAATGTACGAGAATCTATGGCGTGATAGTCTTTCATTCATACATTACAGCCTATCAAAGTCCACTGGTGAACATAGGCCTCCCCCATATATTGCCTCATAGGGGATATTTTGCCATAGTTGCCATGTTTGGCAGGTGGGTTGGCAGCCGCAGTTTTTTATAATTTTGAGTGGTTATCAAGAACACACGGGTGCCCAGTTTCGCAGGTACATAGTCTTCAAGCAGTCTAATGTTACTGTCGTAGAAAAATATTAGTATTACTAATAAACGAATTGTTACAAACGAAGCCACATTCCTGATTCTAAATGGATACTGTAGCCCATAGAAAGCTACATGCTTGATTACAAAACAAGATGTAGTCGTTGCTCCCTCTGAGGATCTAGATGAAATGTTCGGTTACCAGTTCAGGAAATTTATAAAAAGCGTCAAGAGAGATGTCCGCCAAACCATTTTGATGTACCGATAGACATTTTGTTTTAAATGAGAGGTGCTTGTGTCAATCAGGGAGTTCGTTTTACCTCGCTACACATTAAGTAAATATTATATGGATACTCATTACATATGTCTGTATATCTTAGGATTAAATAGCTGAAAATATACCTTTCCTTTCTCTTTATTTATTTAGGGGCTTTTATACTAATCATATCGACACTTAGTTGAAAAAAACACTCTCATAGAGAAGAACTAGAATTATTGGTGTTTCATAACCATATAAATTAAAAAATTCGGAGCATCTGACAGTGGCTCTGCTAACACAGTTGAACAAACTCCTGAATATATAATATACAACTTGAATATTAAAACTTTGCATCAATAATTCTCTTTCTCTCTCGAACTTAACACATTCCATTAATAAATGCAATAATATACCTATATAGTGTTCTCCAAACCGAGTTTCGGTCACGGTGACCAGTCCCAACGGCGACTAGCTACAGGATAATAGTGCCCAAGTGTATACGCAAGCACCGGTACAGTCTCCATTCGCTCACTCGCATAATTCGATGTGATGGCAATCCAACACGATCGGAATGAGATCAGGCGTATTACCTCAGAGTCAGTATTCACGTTTACGACCTGCTTAGACTAATGAGGCAGTTCCCTAAACCCTCTCAAAAATTAAGGATCTGTTTATGATTAAGACATTTACTGGAATTTAGCATCTTGGATATATCATAGTGTCGATGGTGGTGGACCTCGGATAATATAGTATTATGGTGTTTTTATAGGATAGGGTGACAAACGATCACACAGTCCACCTGATGGTAACTGGTTGCTGCGGTCCATAGACATCTACATTTATCCTCGTTTGCGAATCAAAATGTAAACGCGTTGTCACCCGTGAGGACTAAGATGGAATGCCTCTTTGCCAGTAAAAAGGGTCTCCGGTTCTCTACACTCACCATACGAAACACAACAGGGTTAAGCTGTTATTTTACGCTGGTATTCTGTGAGAGCGTGGTCCTTCCCCGGTCGAGCCGACCCATTTGTGCTACAACTATACTACTATTATAGCTGCAGAATGACTCTACCACGTTAGAAAACTGGTTGCAGTATGAATGGGCAGGCTCCGTCCGGTTAAGACAGAATACTAGCGTAAAACGTATTTCGTAAGGTTAGTATAGAGAATCGAATACCCATTTAACAGATAACGAAGTAATCTTAGTCCTCAGTAGTAAGAACGCATCTGCATATACATTCTTTGAAGATAGATGTATGTCTATAGGTGACAGCATTCATTTATCATCAAGTCAACTGTGTGTTCGTTTGTCCTCTCTTACTTGAGCGTTACTTCTATATTAAAATTAAATGTATAAGTACAAACACTTTGTAGTTAGATATATATATATAGAATTATGTACAAGGTAAGTAACATACCATTTTTACCATTGCTTTTCAGACATCACCATCATCACAAAAGAAAGCATGCGACTCATTATTTCATATAAATCACCTTAACTTCGGCTCAAAAACACGTACTGATTATTTTAAATGTTATTTATTAACTTAAATTAAGATTAAAAACTGTAATTTTATTTAATTTAATAATAAAGTATCTATAATACAAAATATTTTTTCTTTACATCTCTAAATACCTCAGATCTGAGTAAACCCTTTTTTCGTTAGTCATTTCATCTGCTGTTACTTCTGTTGATTGACTCCTATTATGTCTTTTGCCCTCACAGAAAACGCCACACACCATATTCCCAACAACGTCTTAATGCTTTCTCCACTGAGCATTTAAAAAAGTACGGAGGTCTCTTTCCATCTGGAGGCAATCAGTGCCAAGAGCTAAATCAATCCTTTAGTGAGGCTGACTCCTATATCGATGTTATTAACCACAGTACATTGAAGAAAACCTGTCCACACGGTAACACTGTGGAGGAGTTCGGGAAAGCGCATCAAAAATGCGTTAAAAGTCAATTTGGCGAAAGCTCTGATACAATTAATCAAAAGCATGAGAGAATGTGCATCAAATTCAACCAACGACCATTACAATCAAGGTGAGATAAATTGTAAATTAAAATGTTTTTACCAACTTAGTCAACGGGCTAAAAATTATATCAGATGTCTCGCTTGTACTGACATATTTTAAAAAGATACAAATGATATGCGCGTTGCAGTTTATCGATTAATATCGAAAATGTCTCATTACAATTTAAAGCCCGTTGGTGCAGTTCGTAATGTTCAAAATGTTTAAATTTAATAATAACCCATTTGGTTACTTCATTAACCAAGTATTTTCTGCTTGCTTACCACAATTTTTACACTAACCAAGCAACTTTATAGCGACTAGTAACATAATTCTGCCGACTACTTCCACATCACTTCAGTGTTCATTAAAACTTGATCAATACTTGAGTTTTCAATGAGAATAATCAACATTAATCACCTTAAACTTATTGAAATACTTTAAAAGATCCAAAATAACAAATTAACATATTATGCTAATTTTCTTGACTTAACACTAACCATTAACTCGAAACGAACGAACATTCCTTTAAAACACCTGTACACGTCCCAAAATAGGAGAGGACAGGACACTTCGATAACGTCAGTGAATTCCAGTGGGCAGGATTCGGGAATCGCTGAAGCTGTCAGGTGTCCCTGCGGGCATTCCACTACCCACACTTCAGAGGAGAGCAGCGGGTGAGTCTTTGAGCTTAGAAAATAATAATTAGTTTTAATATTTAAAAAAAAATGTTTTTATTTGTGTAGTCGCGGTGCAAAGGTAACACAGTCCCGTGAGTGTCGTAATAGGTGACTATGGAACATGTCACGAAGATCCAATGGCATCTGACAGATTTAGATATTATGATCTCATTAACGCCAGTCGTGAAACAAACAGACCGGCGAAATTTGGTAATGCGATCGTTAAACTGCCTGCCAAACGTGACTAAATCCTCCCTGAAATGGACGGATCCATGTCTGATAAAGAAGGAGAAGAATACCAAAACGCATGAGGCGTCGCTGTATGTTTTAAAATGTTGTAGCTCAACATTTCATTAAAGTGTATGTAAATATTGTTTTTTTTTTAGATTTTTAAAAACATTTGTTATCACTCATTATACTATATATATATATATATATATATATATATATATATATATATATATATATATATAATACAATACATAAGATAGGAATAGATTAATCACAACAGACATGAGAATCAATAGTTAACACTATAATAGTATTAGATAGGGTTAGGGTTAGATTATTTTCATAAAGTTAAAAGGAGTAACAAGCAAACTGAACTTCTGGTATTTGACTATTACCGCTTACACATATCTGCATAGCCTTTAGAAAAGTCTCATAGCCCGTAACTACTGTCATTATCTCATTATCTATGACAGAAGTAGGAAATGGAAAGTACTTACAAAGACGATCTCCTAATTCCTTCAAATAAACATTTATATATGTAAATATAGCTGAAAATACAAAAAAAAACTCAAGAACAATGTTGGTTTAATTTTACATTTATGTACTGTTAAATTACTATATTAACTTTGCCTAATTTTAAACAGTATAAAGACATTTTTTCAAGTGTTGAAAAATAGAGATATACAGATGCTACTTGATATTTCGTTCGTTATACGTGGTAGAACCATGCTGCAGCTATATTAATAGTATAGTTGTAGCACGAATGGGTCGGCTCGACCGGGGAAGGACCACGCTCTCACAGGATACCAGCGTAAATTAGCAGCTTAATGCTGCTGTGTGTAGAGAACCGGAGACCCTTTTTACTGGAAAAGAGGCATTCAATCTTAGTCCTCACGGTTGACAACGCATCTGCATTTTAATTCGCAAACGAATATAGATGTAGATGTCTATGGGCCGCAGCAGCCACTTACCATCAGGTGGACTGTGTGCTCGTTTGTCATCCTTATTCTATAAAAAAAATCCATTTTTGAATATTTTACGATATTTCAGAATTTGATGGAGACCAAAAATTTTATTGAAACGTTGTAAATAAGTAATCACATGATAAAAAAGATATCCTGAAAATATTTCTTGATTATCTAATACTTAGCATATTGTAAAGTTTGTCTTTCGGATTTCTCTCTTTACAAACAATTGTTCAATGAAATTTAAGGAAGGAGATTAAAACCTAGTTATATTTCAGTTGCAGCTACGAGGACTCCCTGAAATCAAATCACAATCAAGAATCACATCTTAAATCATATCGTCCCGATCCAGAGCCCCGTTTCCATCGGCGTGCTTCATTCGGTCAACAACCACTGGACGTGCGACGATTCAACTACAGGAGACAGTCTTTCTCTGAAAACCTTCATAGACATTTCCCCTCATTCGAGAGAATCGGATCTGGTGGCAGAATGACCAGACAGATATCTTCTCCCAACGTGGCTAGTGTATCTCAGCCATATTTCTTGGCTGCTAAAAAGAATTTACGAAGAAAAGAAGTAGTAAAGGAACCGGTGGTGGATTATGATCAGAGTGAAGCAGAGGATCAATTCGATACAAGACTGGGTAGAAGACTAAGTGGACAGAACCGTAAGAGAGGAAATTTTATGGAATTAAATGGACAAACGGCAGTGTTTGTTGCTACTCCTGCCGCAGCGGAGATTATGAGGAGACAGGGAAGTGAGAGACTTATGTTTGCTAGACCTTTATAGTAGGTTAATGATGCAAAAAAAAATAAAAGAGGCTTTAATTTATAACTTGAAAGAGATTTAAGAATAGAAATTTTAGAAGAATCGAACGGTATAGAGAAATTATGAGAGGAGCATTTAAATTGGAAATTTTAACCAAACTCTAAAGAAGCTTGGAAGTGATACCTCAAAATATATTGATACAATTTTAGCTTTACCATTTCACATATATTCGTATAAGATTTTTAATCAGCATTATACACTTATAAATATAGGCTTTTAGTATTCTGGTTGATGACATGCACACTCACTCACTAGCACAATTGAATTGTGCACATAAGCCCTTATTCATATTAAATAATTCATTGTAGATAGTTAATCTAGTTTCTAATATAACAAAATACAGCTTTTCTTAATAATGTACACGCGTTTCGAGGTTTTCGACAAATAAACTTCATTAAACATAATATCTAATTAAAACAAGGTTTTATATGCATTGTTAGGGCCAGAAACTGGATCCATCATCGGGTCAGTTCCATGGTACCGTATATACTGGTCAAAATTACAAAAGCATGTCAAATTTCTGGTCAATCAGATGTCAGCAAATTCAAAATTCATTAAAAATCTTGAATCGGAAAGACATACGAAGAAAGAAAATTAAATAAAAGCTTGTAAAATGTGATTTGAAAGAAATGTTGTAAATATTGTAACAATAAAAACATTGTTGTAAATCAATTTGTATGTTTGTATATTATTATATTATACATTGTAATAAATATTAAAATGATAAATTGATGATAATTTAAATGTATTTTGTATATTGTAACAATAAAAACATTGTTGTAAATCAATTTTTATGTTTGTATATTATTATATTATACATTGTAATAAATATTAAAATGATAAATTGATGATAATTTAAATGTATTTTGTATATTAAATTGTAACTTTAAGCCTTAACGCAACTTATATTTCTATATTGTTACCACAGTTCTAACGTTGTAAAATTGTAAGTTACTTTGAATAACATTTGTGAATATATAATATAATGTATATGTAATCATAATTATGTATATTATCATTGGTATCTAAGTCCAAAGAGAAATATTTGTGTCTAGTACTTATTCTGATAAGTGCCATTTGGGATAGATCTTATAGGTTCTTTGGAGCATATAAAGATCTTTGAATGTAAACTATTACCACCTTTCTAGGGTAATTTGTGTAAACTTGTTGTAATATTTATGCTTAAACTGTATATTGTAATAATGTAAATAATTTCTTGTTAAGAAATAAATTGTATGAAAATTGTTCGACTTTCAATTATTTTGAAGAAACATAGTTGCCACACTTGGCCGTCCGTGATAGAAGTGCTATGTATAATACTAATTGTCTTATTAATTTGCAAGTGAATTTTTCCTGACAAATCCTTTGATTAGATTTTTGTCTATGAGCCATAGCATCAACTTCCTATCAGGTATACTATATGCTGGTTTGTCACCAATGTTTGCTATGGAATATCATAGAAATTATATGAAGGTTACTTCAATTGCAACTTTAGCTCGGATATATAATTTTTTTCATAACAATCTAAAAATAAGGTTTTGTGATATTGAAATCAAAGAAACCGTTTTAATTTTTTTATCCGGTTCATAAATTTTAGGTACTAAATCTAAACCTGAGTATAGTATGTCAAAGCAAATATATGACATGAAGATTGAAGACATAAACAAAGACTACGGACAATAAATTAGTTTCAGCAGAATTTCCCAGAAATTTCCAATCACTCTTCACGCACGAAGTCAGAAACATGCCGGCAGTCTGATTAATACGTCCAATATAATACCGCAGCAGTTGAATTATGTCGGGAAACAAACATCCCTTTCGATTCAGTTTGTAAAAAACAAGACCGGAGTCAATGACTTGGTCGATTTATAAATGATATTTGGATTTCCACATTGATTTTCAAGTTTAATAGTAAACATCTGAAGATGAAATCCTACTGGACGGTTAGATTTATAAACTGTTTGTTGTAGAATATTTAAATAATAATAATTTAGAAGCGACTGTAGCTATTAGTCTACTGTAATAGTTAATACATGTAATAATATGCTGGTATGGTTGTACGATGTTGATTTTTTTTATAGGAGAGGGTGACAAACGAGCACACAGTCCACCTGATGATAACTGGTTGCTGTGGCCCATAGACATATACATTTATCCTCGTTTGCGAATCAAAATGCAGATGCGTTGCCACCCGTGAGGACTAAGATGGAATGCCTCATTTTCAGTAAAAAGGGTCTCCGGTTCTCTACACTCACCATACGAAACACAGCAGTGTTAAGCTGCTATTTTACGCTGGTATTCTGTGAGAGCGTGGTCCTTCCCCGGTCGAGCCGACCCATTCGTGCTGCAACTATACTACTAATATAGCTGCAGCATGACTCTACCACGTTTAAAAAATTAGTTACAAACTATGAAACTCCTAACAAACATAGTTTTAAATTAATTGAAGTGGTTAAAATGAAACATGGTTTATGACAGGGTTCATGAGTAACATGAATCGGGCAGCCATTGTGAGTTAGCGGACTTTAAATTTATTCTAAATATTAATAATGGGAAATCTTCATACCCAAAAAACAGTTCAAAATGACGGAAAACATGATGACCGCCATACCAATTATAAAGAGATATAACTCGGCATAGGTTAGGTTAGGTTATGATATGTCCGACGATATCTAAAAAGTAAAAATTAGAAAGAAATCTATTTTTAAAACAAGCTTTTATTTAAATGTTCTAAAAAGAAGAAAATAAACTTTAAATTATTTCAATCACATAAATTTTTACATTACACAATTTATATGATATGAAAGCTTGTCGCGCGATTTACCTGTGTACATAGATAAGAATACATTAAGTAACATAAATTGACGGTAGGTAATTCGAAGAAACGAATAATTGTTTTTTTTTTGTAAAATATGTAAATTTCGCGACAAGCTCTTATATCATATAAATTGTGTAATGTAATAAATTGATGGGTGTGATTTAATTAAAGGTTTATTTTTTTCTTTTTAGAGTATTTAAATAAAAGCTTGCTTTTTAAAAAAAAGTTTTTTTTTCTAATTTTTATTTTTAGTTATCGTCAGACATGACATAAGCTAACCTTTTTTTTGACATGGAGAAATGCCTACGCATACCCGCCTCGCGGGGGCAAGGACGGGTTATGTCGGACTCGCACCGACTAAAACCCCATGGTGTTCCACCTCCGTCGCATATTGGCAGGGCCACGGGAACGCTTTCGCACACATCCTTGGCCCCACCTGCGCTGGCCGCCCCATGGCGGCCTCTCCTCGGGAGAGGACTACTCCTCCCCCATCTCCTTCTCAGGTAAGGCGCACCAGAACACGTGACGCGCCCTCCTCCTCGGCCTCCAAATCCACCTGCATATCGGAACCGTGTAGGTCGATATTATTTAAGACACGACCCCACCATGTCTTATCGCTTAGTCGGGCAATAGTACACCATCTCCTCGAAGAGCTGAACGCGGAATTCATTTTATTCGTATTTTTCTCAGCAAGTCCCTTCATTTCATATCCATATCACGGAGGTGAATAGAAAAAAATAGTCCGCCGTCTTGGAAGCCCACCATATTGGATTTAGGGTGACGTCATTTTATTTTTGTATTCTTCTCAGCAAACTCTTTCATTTTATACCCATATCATGGGAGTGCATAAAAAATAACTAGTCCATCTTGGGTGGTCCGCCATATTGGATTTAGAATGGACGTCACTTAGCTTACATTGTCATCCAAATTAAACATCTATACAAAATTTCAGCTCAAACGGTTGAGAATAATTTCTATAAAATTCAGTTGCAAGATTTGACCCTAACAAACATACATACAAACATTTCAAGTTCAATAAAAGCTTTTAGAGACATGCAAGTTTCCCGTATTCTTTGCAGCACGTAATAAATCAGTATGTGCAATCTCGGGAACCCCTCCTGTATTGCCGTGCCTTAGAATTACACCGGCCTTAATTTTACAGTGTACTAATCCTTTTAACGTGGTAGAGCCATGGTGCAGCTATATTAGTAGTATAGTTGTAGCACGAATGGGTCGGCTCGACCGGGGAAGGACCACGCTCTCACAGAATACCAGCATCAAATAGCAGCTTAACACTGCTGTGTTTCGTATGGTGATTGGTGAGTGTAGAGAACCGGAGACCCTTTTTTACTGGAAAAGAGGCATTTCATCTTAGTCCTCACGGGTGACAACGCATCTGCATTTTGATTCTTTCTTGAGGATAAATGTAGATGTTTATGGGTCATAGCAACCACTCACCATTAGGTGGACTGTGTGCTCGTTTGTCACCCTATCCTATAAAAAAAAATCCGTAGCCTTGGCTTGGTGCATGGTGCGTAGTTAGTCACTTGAACGTTCAACGTTATCGTTCTGGGTACTTTACATCTTACACGTTGAGATAATTATACCTGAATCTGTCAGATGCTATTATAAATTCCTCAGTCAACATTAGACAATTCGTGTTTTCTTAAAGAATAGGGTGACAAATGAGCACATAATCCACCTGATGGTAAGTGGTTGCTGAGGCCCAAAGAAATCTATCTCTATTCTCGATTAATAATCGAAATGCATATGCGTTGTCTGAATTAAGGCTAAGGGGGAATGCCTTGTTTCCATTAAATAGAGTCTCCGGTACTCCACACTCACAATTTGAAATAAAGCAGTATTAAGCTACTATAATACGCTAGTATTCTATGAGAGCGTGTTCCATCCCGGCTTTCGTGCTACAACCATTATGGGGCATAAGTGCGGCTCTACCACGTAAATCGTCTGCTTTAAGATTTAATAACGTAGCTTTATCGTTCTCACTGTAAGGTTTCAATAGTCGAACTTATAACTTAATATTATTTATATAACTTTCATATTAACTTCAAATTGAAGAAACCCTATTGTTCTTTTATTCCAAATTAAATTATCGAAAATGCATCTCTTTTGTTTCTGAGGT